CCCGACCCTGGGAGATAATATGATCATTTAAATGGCTTTACGTTGCCTTACACGTATACTCCAAGTGTAAGGATTTGTGGTGGAGTCTAGTCAATTTTAAGGAACCGTCACTATGTCTGTAATTGTCTTCTGTGTCTTTGGTTTGTAAAAAGAATGTAAAAATCGTTACAATATATGTTGTGTATGTGTGTATATTTTGTATATTTTGTATATATTTTGTCTCTTGATCAATAAAGTTTTGAAAAAAAATCGTTACAATGGACTTTCCATCGCATCGCTGGAGTAAAACATCGCCAACTCACAGTTAGGAAATGACGGCGGGTGAGAAGCGATCTAGAGGCAAACAAACCAGAGCTGCGCGGAATGCCGTTATAATGATTCCAAAATGAGACAGAAATGCAGTGTTAATGGGATGTCCTTTCCGGCTGGCAATGCGCGATGAATTCAAATTGAGTGTCGTGTCCCGCCGGCACGTCTGGCGCCTGCAGCCACGGGGCTCAGTGATAGTGAGAGAAAAGGCCTCACGGTGCAACTCACTCCAGGGAAAGTCTAGCCGAGTAGCCACCCTATTCTAGCTGCAGTCCGCTCCTCTGGTCGCTTCCCTACTGAATGGTTGGAAGAGAAGTGATAAGTGGAGTGAGCTGGAGTTAGAATACGACGGGAATACAATCGGTAGGAAGCAAGAAATGTCTTCAAAACAGACCAATTTCTATAATGGACTGTGATGACGTGATTGTGCGCAGGAACGGCAGATGAAGAGGATGGAAGGATTTTGAACACCCGAGCACATCCCATCTCCTGGGCAGTAATTGCATTTGTGCTACATGAAAAAGCCGATTCGTGCTTTCACGTGTGGGCGCACAGTGTCCTTCAGCTAGTTGTCTAATCCACCCGGCCCGACACGAGACTAATGACATTCACGTTCTGTTCTGCTGCGTCCACGTGCTGATTACCAGGAGCACTTTATTTTAAGCCTACGAACGGCCCCGGTCGGTGGCTATGTTGGAAAACGAATCACGTTTCTCTTAATATCCGTCAATAGCAGGACTAATACGAGAAAATAACGCTGTCAGTTGGTTGTCATTCACAGCTGAGCCTATGTAGTCAGAATAGCACGAAACGGCATTATTATGAATGAATGAATGAAAGACCTTTATTGTACGCTTGTGCTCTAACGAGCTAAGTACAGGTCATGGGTAGACAGGGAAAAGAAAACAGTAATGACACTTACATACTATATAACCTAATGCGATCTACTATTTACAGGTTCAGCTTCTTCTCGCTTCTTTACGCAGTTAAAGATGTACGAACATATTGAGCTAATTATACATGGTTTGTCAAGATTCATGAGGAATTCGAATTTTTCTATTCTATCTAAATGTCTAAAGCTTGGGAACTTATCTATTACATAAGTATAGAGGGAATCCCTCTCATTTCTATATAATGTGCAGTCAACTACAAAATGGCATTCATCTTCAATATAATCTAGATTACAAAATTGGCAGATCCTTTGCTGTAGAGGAATGTGGTTGTGTCTTCCCTTTTCTATGTGGAGTTTGTGTGAACTTATCCGGAGTTTTGTGATGGCTGTTCTGTGTCGAATGTTTGTAATTCTCAGATATTTTTCCTCGTGGTAAGTATTTTTTAGTAATCTATATGTTCGTAATTTGTTGTTGTTACGAATTTCTGCTGTAAAAGTTTGGAAATACATGTCTTTTAAACGTTGATCAAGGGATGGAATAATTTGTGAAGAATTTAAGACACACGACATCGGCGAATTCCATACGTAGGCAAAACCACACTCCTCTAGCGTCTTGCGGACTCCCGAAGCCCAGCATTTAGCGCCGGATGCATCCAGTTCAAGTTGACATAATAGAGCGTCTGCTGAGAGACTATCAACCGGCACGTTCTGGCGTATTCTGATATAGTGTTTAATGGCGTTCAGAGATGCTTCTAGTTTGAGGGGATAACGCCCCAATTCCGCCATTACGGCAAGATTGCAGGCGGATCTGGGAACGTATAAAGATTGTTTACAGAATTTTAAATGAGCTGCTTCGATAGGTGATGATTTTGGACTTTTGAATGATCCCCAAATTTCGGAGCCATAAACAATATTGGCTTTACACATGTGTCAAAAAGTTTGTTTCTTACAGATATTGTCGCGTTGGCTTTGTTTAGAGATTGATTGACTCCAAACAGTGCTTTCAGACCTTTGTTGTATAAGTGTTTGTTGTTTGCCTTGAACGTACCGGCTGCATTAACAACAATACCAAGGTAACAATAGTTTGTAACTATCTCTACTACATTGCTGTTGTACAAAAACTTACAGTCTTTTGGCAGACGGCCTCCCTTTGTAAAGACCACTACTTTGGTCTTCTTTAAGTTAACATTCAATTTCCATGTTTTACAATAAGTTTCTAATCTATCTAAAGATGTTTGTAGACCCCGTTTAGATTCAGAAAATATAACTAAGTCATCTGCGTATAACAGGCAAGATACTTTCTTATTATGTAATATGGGGGGTTACAAGAATGATCATTAAACTCATTTGCTAAATCACTAATGTATAAATTAAATAGTGTTGGACTCAGGTTACAGCCTTGTCGAACCCCACAGTTAGTTACGAAAGTTTCGGTAAGACCGCGGTTAGTTTTGATACAATTTATTGTTTTGGAATACATGTCTTTGATAGTCATTAAAAATTTGCCTCCTATTCCAAGTTCAGTCAATTTTCGTAGAAGTCCATCTCTCCAAACAGAATCAAATGCTTTACTAAAATCTACAAAACAGGCATATAGTCGTGCATTTTTACTTAGATATTTGCTAACTAAAGTAGACAGTACAAAAAGATTATCGGTTGTTCTAAAGTTTTTCCTAAAACCGGCCTGTTGGGGTTTGAGAAGGCTGTAATGTTCAGCATAGTTAACTAGTCGGGTATTTAAAATGGAGCAGAATAGTTTACCAAGACAACTAATTATGGAGATTCCTCGGTAATTGTCTGGAAGTGAAGTGTCCCCGGATTTATGTATAGGTACAATATGACTTAGAGACCATTCTTTGGGATAGTAACCGTTTTGTAGACATGAGTTTAAAATATGTAGAAGGGGTTTCTTTAGTATGGTCTTCCCGCATTTCAACATTTCATTTAGAACCATATCGCCCCCGCTAGATTTCTTGTTTTTTAGATTGGAGATTGCTATGTCTAGTTCTTCCCCTGTTATAAGACTGTCTAAAGTACAATTCTCCGGCGAGGGAGGGAGGGGGGAGAAGTCCACGTTGTCTGTGGAAGCGCGTATGTTACTATCACTGATAGCATCAGCGTGTTTGTTAAGACCTTTAAAATGTTCTAGCCACGCTGAATCTGATATTTGATCATTATGGTCACATTAAGGATAATTTCCCAACTGCACACCATGAGTTATCGTGTTAGCACATCATCAGTGTCTTTAATCTTATCAACCACTTCCTTTCCCAAATCGCAGCTACCACCATCAGTTCCTTGACTAGGGTTACCAACCACTTCCATTTTGATAAACAATCCCTCCTTGAATAGCCAAAATTGGTGTTACAGGCTCATTTCTTTCTCTGCCAGGCTCTATTTCCTCCCTTTCCCGAACTTGAAACACCCCCTTGTAAACTACCCCACAGGGCGCATCTTTAACGTCCACCTGTCTGTCACACCTATTACTTCACGGTATTCAGTTATACACAAATCCTCATAAAGTGCTCTTACAAGTCGTTTTGGTTCGCTAGCGTATGCCAATCACTTTTTGCGAACGCTGCCTGGAGCTCGAGGCGTGAATAGCGTCATCAGCGGGTGATCAGAGAGAAGTGTCCCGTGTATTGAATAGCTTCTGAGCAGGGAAAATATGTTTCTTTTCATCATAACTTCAAAGACGTCGAAACTCGAAACGTCGGCCAGGAAGATTGCTTTGAGGCTTGTGTTGCAACGTTCAAAAGAACCATATTTTCACTGCTTAGCGGCTATCCACGATACACAGGACACTACTCTGATGTACCGTGTACCATAAAAATGTATCACCACTCACAATAAGCTAGAAGAATACCTGTATGTATCACTCGCTGTTGCACGTCAAGCCAGTGCTATGAAATGGCAGCCTATAAATAACACCTATCTAGGGAACAGAAGTGGATTTGCAGCGATCCCGAGATCCCGTGTAACAGATTACGAAAGCAAGTTTCTTTAGAATGAAGAAGTACCCGTGAACGGGAGAAACCCGCGCTTTGTTCCCACGAGGTAATGCGAATAGTTGCATAACCTTATGTATTGGCGTGGAGGTGTTCTAGAAATAGCAATAACTTTAGGAGGCAATAAGTTACAGTGATGGGAGCATCAGATCTGACCAGAACTGATGGGTGTCTGACAAGAACACTGTGGTGGGTTGATGGGGTGGGGTACTGAGGAGTTTTTCAGCCTGTGACTGACTGGTTGGACTTACTGTACATCACGTTAAATCTTAAATCCTACTTTAGAATGAGTTATAAGGCCACACCAAGTAAATTTTATGGATGACGTCCTTTAGAGACCCTAAATCTAATGCGAGAGGGCGAAAAAAAAACAAGATGGGCCCTAAAAAACAAGATGCCTGGATTAGAAATATACTAAGAGATGACAAATGTTAGGACACAAATTGAATGAGGTGACACAGTGTAACAAGCAAGAAGTCTTTCATTCATCATCAAAATAGCAATAAATCAGGTGGAACAGCAGTTGTCGTCCTGTCCTGTTTCTTTCATCACATTTTTGCTCTTTACCCATTTCGCGTTACGGGTTTCACGTCAATCTCACGATTTGCAGCACTGTCGTGACTCTTTGGTCATAGTTACAGGAAGCGAAATTTCTTGTTTTTTTTCTAGGAACAGGCCAAAATCAATGCGCGCGCGGACGTCATCCATAAAATTTACTTGGTGTGGCCTAACAACACAGATGAACTTTCAAGTTCGGATCTCAGAGTTCCCTTGTGTTTGTGTTTCTCCAGGGCGGAAGGGTGAGGAGCCAGTGGCAGTCATCGAGCGATACGAGTGAGTCGTCTGCTGTCCGCTCAGACCCGGCTAACACGGATGTTTGCGCCTCCAGGGCCAAAGGATGATGCTGAAAAAAGCTTGTTTCATGAATATAATCCATTCGCACTTGTCGGTTGCACACAATGCACGATGCCTTCAGAGTACGCACTCGAGTAGGTTATCCATTGCCTGTCCTTGGTGGCTTTTTGCCAGACATTATTGTCTGAACATCCTTCGTAGTTAACGCCGACGGGAGAGCCGGTTGTAACTACGGAGGATGGCACCCAGGCTAGACCATATTTCGCACGTTGGGAGGCATGCATTCCCATGCTTTGTTGCATTCCTGCCAGGTCTACAACACTGTGCCTGTAAGAACCCGTCAAAGGTATGGTGGTGTGTGTTTGAGCAATGATCGATCTTATAATGTCAGTCTTAGTCCTGATCGCTTTCAAATTTGTGCACTGCTCGTTGGTTGGCTTGTTTGCTTCTCATAACTGGTTACCAGCTACATAAGGCCTGACTGAAAGGTTTGATCCACTCACACCAGGATGGATCCCCCCACTCCTGCACTAATGTTCTGTACGAAATGTGTGTGTGTGTCATCTTTTTCAGGAAATGAAGAGATTATCATGAAAACGGACGATCCACGCTATAGAAAAGCTGTTAATTTGAAAGTGTTCAAATAATGTGTCCTCCTCTTAACAGGAACAGACCGATCAATTATTACACAAATAGATATTATATAGCTGTTATAGTAGCCATCTTAACATTTTAAAACCTTTTCTTCCTCACAAGTAGAATCAGGGTAGAAGAATGACGTAGTTCTGGGGCTTCAGCAAAGAGTTGACGCACAGGTAGACGAAATTTGTAGGCGAAGATACAGCAGGTTCCTAGAATGTAGTAAATCATCAATTACTAACAGGGCTCAGCTGCAGGGACCGTACGTTGATAGGGTTGGTTGGAGTCACACGGACATGGCGTAGTGAAAAATGAACGGTCCCTGAATGTAACCCTACGGAAGTTTCAGGGGACGACCACCAGCCTTTGGCACGACAACAGCCACAATTCCCGCGCTTTCATGGCGATGTATAACTGACATTAATTGGAGTAACAACGGAAGCCGTTCAGATAAGAGATAGAATTTCTTAGAAATCAACCGACGAGGCATGTCGTGAGTGTTATGGATGTAAAGCTACTGTGGAAAATACGTCTGTGCCAGAATAACTAATGCTGCAAAACCTCCTTTCCACTGGACGGAGATCGCTGATCGATCATACGGCAATCAAAATTGTATTTGTGTGACCCATGAACATGACGCAACGGGAAAAAGTATGTTCAAGGAGAGATAACAAAACACAAGACGTAAAATATTGTATTTATCTATGAAATTCGTTGAGCAATATGTCAACGTTTTGGTCGCTCAGCGGTAGCAGCCTCTAGTGGATAGGAGGTTGGGTGTATCTAACAATATGACGTTTTATAAGATGCTATTCTGGAAAGATCGCAAGCCAAAGCTGGAATTTGTAACACCGAATAAAAGTATTTCCTGTTTAAGCCACGTACCGATATAGCTTTTTCATGTGGTTATGCAGCTTTGCTTTGATATATATATATATATATGTATAAGGTAAATTGATCTAACTCAGTACGTAAAGTGTATGTTGAGATATATCTAATGATGAACGACGCATCCCAGACCGGTGGAACACACGATATTTGTTCGGAAAAAAGTTGATAGTATGACAACAAACAAGTCTACTCCCGCACGGTTCATAGACCATGTAAAACTTCTCTTGTCGTGGCAGCTGTCCAAGTCTCAGAAAAATGAGTATAGTTTAATTTCTGTGCCAATTTTTCATTAATCGGAATTGGAACTCGTAGTTCTTGAATGGTGCTGGCGTAGACAGATAAAATGACATTATGGACAACTGTGAAATACGTATAAGGGTGGTGCGAAAGATGGCCGTGGATGTATTTTGACAATTTGTAAAATTCTGTAACATTTCTGAGGTTTTTATGAATATTTCCTTATCATTATCTATATTTGTAAGATGAAAACGAGATGAAATAAAATTAAGTGTTTGTAATGTCTGAACGTTGCGTTTCGTCGTACTGTCGCGTTTGTCCGTGTTGGTGGCAGGTTTCGCCTAGGTCTTGTCAGAAACCAGGTACGAGTAGCAGTCAGAAAAGTTATGCATCAGACAAAAAAAAAGGATATGATAAGCTAATGTAGGGTCCGACGCAGTGTTTGACGCATGTTTTTCATTTTTTTTATACGCCTTTCTAGTGGTCCAAGTTTTTAAGTTGGAAGGTGACGCGAAATACGCGGACTCGAAAACCATGCATAGAACAATGAGCCAGACCCTGTATCTGCTTGGAGATTAACGTACGTCCGGCCGACTTCACCTGTGGTAATCATAGAAAGAACTGTTTACACCCACTTTCTATACACATCTCCAATGGGACAAGAGGAAAGGATGCCGATTCTTCTCTCGACAAAACGGCTTTCCGCAGGGACAACAACACACAATAGGGCATCCCGCGGGGCCCGCAGGTGTGTCACAACAGACCAATGGTGAAGTGTCACCAGCTACTCAGGATTGCGAAGGAATTCAGCGGCGGTGCGTCACGAATTTATCACCGTTTCTTTCCGCACGACATCACGACGCGGCTCGGAGTCAGCAGTTTAAGGGAGGACAGCGATTCTAAAGACAAGCTGAACAACAACACCGTGATATATCTGCGTTGTGAACTCATCATAACCTTTCTACTGAAAAGAAGCAGACAGGTAAACAATGGGTGATAAAGAGGTCCTAATAGGTAGGAAGCCCTCTTTATCGAGGCGACCCTCTCAACAGAGGTTGAAGAAGAGACGACCCAGCGTCTCCACCATATCGGAGACCGGTTCTCTGATTGTTGAAGGCACGGCGAGACTTCCCCCACTCGCCGACAGACAGCACCGACCAGTCATGGACAAGCTGTCCAGACAGGTCTCCATCATGAAGGCCTCGGGCGCGGGGTCCAAACGCGGGTCCGGGAGGAAAGTCTCCATTCTGGACCCCAAGAGCCTGTCGGAAGGCCCGGTTGAAGGTATCAGAAACCCGGCGTTGGACGAGAGTGATGAGACCACAGAACAGCCTGAAGATCAGGTAGAGACGGAAACGGAAACACCTCCAGCTGAGGAGGCAACTCAGGAGTCAGAGACAGCAGAGCAAAATGGAACAGGGAGTAACACGGACCAGGACGGCGGAACTGAGGGGGCAGAAAACAACAAGGATGGGGACAAACAGGAAGAACCCAAAGAGGAAGGACAGCAGGAAGAAGCACAGGAGGACAAGTCTAAATCTTCCGACAAGAAAAAGTCTAAGAAAGAGAGCAAGAAAGAATCAAAGAAGGAGAAGAAAGAGAGTAGGTTAAAGTCGTTTAAGAAATCTTTCCTGCGGAAGAGCTCGAAGAAGAAGAAGGATGACGAAGACGCCGACAAAGCAGGTACACTCAGTTCTCCATGTCACTAACATGGCGTTGCTGCTATTGATTTAGGTGACACGCATGTACCTGCCCTTTTATTATGTTATATCCATTTTGTACCGCTTTAGAACTATATGAAATAGAATAAGAATGATCATCTCTCGCCTCAGATAGAAATAGGTGAGGTTTAGTGAATATCTGGAATTTAACATCCACACCTTTGATACTGCTTGTAGGTTCTGTATACGTTCTCTGTACTACCCTACATCATCGTTGATCTCATACTAGCACCACTGATAGGCACTTTTGTGTTTAGCTAATTGCTGTTATAACTTGAGCTGCTCATACAATCACAATCTTTTCATGAAAACCATGAAATGCTCATTCAGGTATCGACAACCACAGCAAGATTTCAAAGTCTGTGGTTGGTCTTCCCTGTGCGGTCTGGCTGGTGAGACTCTCTAGTTGACGATTTTCTGACTTTGTCTGATTTTGTGGTATTACTCCATCCTGTGCGCAGAAGCTGACATTCCCCTTGTAGATATAGACGCAGCAGAAGCTCAGCAGCAGATTCAGAGGAAGAAGGGCAAGCGGCCGTTCGTCATCAGGAGGGGAGGGGACGACGACGAGATGAAGCAGGTCATCCCGTACATGTCCCTGCCGCTCGCCATCATCTGCTGTCTCCTCAACATCTTCCTACCCGGGTTCGGTCGGTATCCGATGTGTTTAGTCTAGTCTAGCGTCTAGTCTCTACCAGACCTCCCCAACGACTTGAAAAAGGTCGTAGAAATCGGTCAAAGTCCTTGATAAGGGACTGAGCTTGCAAGAATTTTAGTAATTTACCGGTTGCAAATGGTAACTTTATGACCTCTCTGGACAATCATTCAATCTATTTGTCGAAAACTATAAAACATGTATTTTCCCAACAATTCATGAAGTCGGGTAGGAACTATATGTGTTTGTGTACTGAGGAAAAAGTCACTCGTTAAGAAGTTAAGGATAGATAAATTAAATGTCCCGGGATAGTTGAAGCAATCTGGTAGGCACAGTTTATTAGTGAACAAATGTCCTGAAACTCTGAAAGACATCTTTCTAATTGTTCTGTTAGTTCTTTAGTTGGTTCATCAGAATGTCAGCATGTGGTTACTGCTATAGTTTGTTCCAATATAATAGCACAGTGTACTTCGCGTACGGTTCTTTGCACTGGAGAGTTGACAAATGATATTAAGAGGCCACAAAGGAGAACTCCGTTTGTCCAGCGACATCAATAATTCAGGTACCTAATTGTGTTCCATCATCATCCCCCGTCCTAAACGTTCTATTGACTATATAACATCCGTCCGCGTAATGCTACTGCCATACTTTATGTACGTTAAGTCGTACCGTTTTGACGAATTCAATTTTGCAGTTAACTTGATCTTCGTGCGTTTCACTTCTTGTCATTGATATCAATCAGAGAGGCACGGCGGGAGCCGAGCGGACCGGGAGAAGGGGCCGTATCCTTTTATTGAATTCTTAATGGATCACTTAGCGAGTCGCATTGTGCGCCGTCACAAGACATGTCGGTCACTCAGGCAACGCCGGGAACGTTTGAAGGTCACTGGCGTGAAGGAAATTAGGAGATGAATCCGCGGGGAATTTTTTTCACGATTAGTGGTGGGGAAGAAGAGAAGGAAGTAATCAGTCTGAGGATGACGAAGGTGTTATGAAGACCCGGTTCAGCACCAAGGACAGGGCAGTTCAGAGGGCGCTGCTTCCATTCCCTTACGCTCTGTACAGCATGTAACATAATGTTTTAACGTTAACATGGCACCAAGTTCGTACGGCCTCCTTTCCACAAGTCGATGGAGCGACCAAAATTGGATTTGTGTGACCTTTATTCTAGAATTGGAATATGATGCACGGTATTATGATTTAGAGACCGTAGACCAATGCGCGCAAGAACCTACTTCCCATCGGTGAAGTCCAATCAACTACGATTGTGGTTACGTTGGTCAAATTAAGTATGCACCGCAATGGATGGTCACACATATATTACTGGAACACAAGGAGAAGTTATATTTGCTAGTTAATGCCATATGGTGTGCCTAGTAGCCATTGAACATCTTTTGTGATGGCCTGTACTTAGCCCAGTGTGGCAAAAATGTATACATATAATCCATTCATTATTTAATACACCACTAATAGTGCTGTACCTGTCTCCAGGCACGTTGCTATCCGGGTTCTCCCTGCTGTGTAAGTGGGGAGTGCGGGACCCGAACGCCGGGCCGAACCAGAAGGACGAGGACCTGGGCCACGCGCTGTACCTGAACGTGGTGGTGGCGCTGTCCCAGATGATCACCATCACCTTCATGCTGGTCGGATACTTCTGGAGCGTGGCCTGGGGAGCCCAGATGGTCAGGATGGCCAGTGAGTTCCCAAGGGTTACTCTCTACCAGGCTTCGGGCGGCGGATGGAAAGAGCAGAAATTGGCCAAATAGAGAGATAACACGCCAGGGCAGTTGGTCCCCTAGAGAGTACAGTTTGCCGCACCTATTTGGCCAATTTCTACTCTTTTCAGCCGCTTCCCGAAGCCTGATAGAGGCTACCCAAGGGTGACTGTCTGTCTATATACACAGCTTGACAGTTCATCTTTGTGCGTAGAATTCTAGCCTGTGTTACACAATCTCTAGATGTACATTCTTTTGTCGTGCAGTCGAAAAACGTAGTAAAGTCAAATTCTTTATGTTGAAAATTGCACTTTAAAGGAACTTTCATCATAATATCAATGGATGCCAATGAACGAGAACCCTTCAGCTATCAGAACGTATCAAACCTCACGTATCCGAGGAAAAAATATCCAGTGGGATCTGTAATGCAAGCTATCTAAAAAGCCGGATCTTACATCTGCTTGGAGAGACTCAAAGCACAACTTGGCACAACTGTCGTTCCGATGTTGATCGCAGCAAGACGCTTTTGATACGTTACTTTTGAGTTGATACGAAGTGTCATCCGGCTGGTAACATATTTGTAATACACCTTTTCAACCGTGGCAGCGACTGTTCAGAGACCTATCTCTCATTATTTCAAAGGAATTTCATTAACAAAGAACTGAGCCTTACACCTCCTCAGAGATTTATATAGAGCACACCGGTATCCACCTGATGATGTTTACTTACGAATTACAAACTCCCCTTTCCCGCACAACCTGAAAACCGCTCTTCAGGTCGCAATCTCCAAGCAGATGTTGGGATGGATAAATCATTCCGTTTTCCTAGCTGTCGCGCTGAGGCGTTTTATGAAACAGACGGGCAGCTAGGAGAACGTAACGTTCTAGCCCCCCGACATCTGCTTGTAGATTACCTTCAAGTCAGCCAATATCTTTGAATTTCGTGGAATATTTCACTGATGGCTTAACAACGTTCCCTTGCAGTTGAACTGCGCCGCTGGAAGAAAGGCCAGCCCCAGTTCAAGGGTCAGGTGATGCCCGAGGACGATGAGGAAAGTGCGCCGAAGACTCAGTCCAGCACCAAGGCCAGGCAGAGTTCACAGGGCGCGCCGCCGCCATTCCCTGACGCCGCGGGACAACACGGGTGCCCCTAGTTCATGGAACCCTCTTCCCGCTTGATGTCGAGCGCCGAGCGACCAGAATTGGATTTGACTTCACAACTGGAATATGGTACACGATCCAAAAGACAAGAAATGTACAAGAAATCGTGCCTTATCTATGAAATCCGTTGCGCGGTTTGTCAAATCTTTGGTCACTCAGCTCTCCCTGCTTCTAGCAGAGAGGTGTAAGACAGAAACAAGGACAAACATCTGAGTAGACCTGAGAGAGTAAAATTTGTTTATCCTATTCCCTGTACATAAACACTAGGATAGCAATTCCAAAACAAGTGTGTACAAATAAATGTAAATACAATGTACCAAGTATCAAGCAGATGGTCATTGGTATTTTTTAAAACATTTTGGTTAGTATTGAACTCAACTAAATTTAGATGCGAAATTATGCCAGTATGTCATTTAAGTTAATGGCTCAGTGGGAGCATACATGTGCACAAAGATTCCAACAAATCTGTACAGGGTAGTTAGAACTTCAGTTTCCACCATACTCCAAGGGTTTCTGGAAAAGTTGCAGAAACAGAGTTACCATTTGCAACCAACTGGTGGAATGAATTGTTCTCCAAGGCTGGGAGTGACTAGTAAAACACCCCCAAAGATTGCTATCTACAGGAAGCCAACAGATAACCTACATGACTCTTATCCTAGGGTAATCCTAAGGAAACAACTAATCTCCAAGCAGATCTTTAGGAGATCTGTGATCAGATCTTGGGGGCAGTCACGATTTTGCCCCAAAGATCTGCTTGGAGATTATGCAGCAACCTGTGTGACTGAACAGACACCACGAAAAAACACAGCAACAGTCAGAATAAAAGAAAGTTTATTGTTACAAATTGTGAACAGTGAAGACTCTCTAAATCCAATGTTATTTTTACCATACAGTACTAACATTGTGAGGTCCAGTCATTGCGTAAATATCATCTTTACTCCCCTGGTTACAGTACGTCGGTAGGGTATAGACTTCGAGTTAGGATACATACAATTTGTTACACAGCAACATGTTAACTGCTATCAACAGAATCAATGTTGCACCAGCCATGTGATTTGGTGAAATACAAAAATAGAGTACAACATTCAAACAAGAATACTGAAAGAAACTAAATTCCTTCCATTGCAAAACTGGGGTCTATGAGTATGACTCGCCTCTATTGCCTCAAATATCAAACTAATCCAAAACTCATAACAAAACAAAGCAAAAACTTGTACTCATCTATGTACTAAGTCATTTCTTGATGCAACTTACAGTGACTATCATTCTCTGACAAATGTACACAGTAACACAAAAATAAATACACAGGTGGATTACAGCATAAGCACAAGCAAACCATGGGTTGTGACAACATAGAAAATACCAAGAATACTGAGTGTCGGGAGGTTACATGTACATCTTAGTGGAGAACCTTGTTGTATTAACTATACAGTCCAGCACAAGTGCCAGCTAACTACCCAACATGATCGCTTTTCTTCTTGTTCGACAACTGGGGTGGTCACCAGGGCCCCTACACTGTCACCAGTAAAGATGATCTGATGCCCCCATTCTGGTTGAAAGACCCAGGGAGAACCATATGACCCTTCACAAACTAAAAAGAATTATCAACACTTGGCTTTAAAGTGAGGCTGTAGCTGCAAAAAAAAGTCTACTTCATGAAATTTGCCCCTCCAAATTCTTCTCAGAGAGTTTTTGACTTTCTGGAGTGGAGGAGGATGCCCAGACTCCCTATTATGTGACCTACCATGCTTTGCTGTGTGGCTATCACTAGACAAAGTTAGGCTTCTGTACCTGACCCCTGGGAGAAAATCCTGGTGACCACCCTTAACTACAACAGTGCAATAATGCTGACAAAGTCGAGACTGGGGAATGATGCCCTGACATCCCGTGCTAGATACAACTTTCAGTATCAAATGTCATAGGAAACTCATACCGTAAAAATCACCGTGGCATGGTACCCAAGATGTGGTTACGTTGCCTAGTCTGTATCAATAAAAAATTCATGGCTTTCTTATGAAATCTCAATTCCTCCTGCCGTTCCGGGAAGGCAGAGAATGCTGGGAACCACCCGTAAGTTAAAAAAGAATGGCACTGTTCTGGTCAGACTTACTACAGTGTTGGGTGCTACCGGTACAACATAAACCTCCCTATTACTTTTCACAACAGGCAACTATTGTTCGGACTTCTAAAGCACAAAAAAATCAGACACCAGGTCTAAATCTAAATGGTAGTACATAAACATCAACAGCTTATAGCAGAGTGGACCAATAGAACCAACCAAAGCATCATGACTGTACAATGTAGAGATGGCGCATGCACTGAGCTCCACCTAGTCACGTACAACTGAACACCGTTACTAAGTTAGTTTAACCCTCAGTACACTGGCATGTATTCTATGATGTTTGCTACAGCTACGTTAACTGTTGGGTGCGGAACAGTCCCTGGGGTGGTGGGCAGCAGCGTGTTCCTCACACAGCATGGATGGCCGCGGAGAAACAGAGCTTCAGGGTGAAGGGGTACCGGCCTTCTGAAACACACACAGGAGAAATGATCAGAACTGTTTCTTTCAAGTTCAAATCCTCATGTCATTTTCTGAAACACAAACAGGGGAAATGACCAGGACTGTCACATTCTCGTGTCGTTCACACTCCGTTCCTGTTAGTCGCTCATTATAGATTACTGCAAATCCAATTAGCCTCCTGTGCAGAACTAGGTGCCGCTGGCGTTATTTTTTGGGGGGGAATGCTGATTTGCGACGTTCAACCTCAGTCCTGTGTTTAGTTTGGGTGGGTGTATTAATTTGCCATGTTCAACAGCAGGCCACAGTTAAAGGCGTGTGGCACCGAGAATTCTGGCCCATGTTGAACATTGTAAATTAGCGCTCCTCCCCCAAAATAAATGCCGACCTTATGTTGAACACTGTAAATCGAGTTCCTCCCAAACATAGATGCCAGCCGCAGATACAGGGTCTGCACAGGAGACTTCCCCCAAATATATTTCATGGGAAGCCATTGTTTTATCTGCAACTGCACTTGTAATATTCTACAATCGTCTACAAACATACACATGCACAGTTGTGTATGTTGCAGTTGTGACACTTGACACCAGACTATATATGATATACATGTGCTTGGCACACCTCAGGAGCAGGTAAAACAGGTACACAGAACAATGGCACTTTGTTTTTCACTAGCATTACTGCTGCAAGACTGATTCATCTAACAACCGATTGACATCTACAAGCACACCTTAAGGTTATGCATTTGACCTGACTCTTTTATTTACACAATGGCATGTAGATATGACCAGATAATCTAGGCTCCAGGAGGCCTACCTCACAGACAAGGAAACCTGTGTTAGATATTTGTTTGTGCAACGTTGACCCACAAACCCATCTGCCATTGAATAGATAAATTAAAGCCATGTAAACAAAGGAGAGTGGCAAGCTACAAGGCAAAGGCCACTGCAGTTTATGTTTTTGGTTCTCTGACATTTTCAGGCAAAAATACAATAAGTAGTCAAAATGAGAACAAAGGGCTGGGAGGAAAATGTGAATCTGTGTATGAACTATGTCATGATGCAGACTCTCATATCTTACTCTATTATATCATGTCGATCTTTCAGTTTAGTGTTACTTTTTTTGTCAAAAATACAAGAATCAAGAAATCAAATTGGTGTGGCCTGACTGTAAATACCAGCTTATGCACAAAGACTTTCTGGACAGGTTAATGGACCCCCTAGTGTGTTATTAAATTGAGAACATTTTATGTAGATGTTTTAATCAGACAAGTCTGTCTGTTCAGTACATTGCTGTGAGCTACGATATATTCTAAAACAGAAACATCTAAGGCTTTTATCATCTCAGAGAAGGCCCTTGCTGGAGTTAAAACAACTGGCAATAGACTGGAAGAAACTGGTGAGTGTATGGGTTCTGTCTATCAATACAGAGTCTCTGTGTTACACATCTGTTAACACCATCCCCAGTCTTAAGGTATTGACTTGGGCCTGATTAAAAGCAATGCCTCCATCTGGACATGCTACTGGAGTACCCTGAGCAAGACCAAACATTGTTTTACGTGCAGAGGGTTGACGCCAGAGACTTATTCCTGAATACAAAGGGGTGCCAGCTTTCAGTACCCTTTGCCTTTTGGATCCATTCCTGGATATATCAGTTTGTCTGAATCTTAATAAATAACTGCTACTTGGCATTCCACTCAAACATTGCAGGCACATGGCATTGACTGGATAAGGGCTCTAGCCAGCTCAAAATTGTTTGCTGTCATCCCAGGTTCATGATCAGCCCAAATTTTGGATTTTGAAGCCTTTAAAAATGCAATTTCCCACATTTTGAGAAGCAAATCATGGGGTTGAGAGTTTTTGTTGGTGTTCCTTTTGATGTTTTTATATTTCTACCAAAGATTTTTGTTATCAAGACTGATGGATTGGTTTAGAAATGTTTCTGTCACGCGCCACATTATTCCTGCAATTGACGGAAAAACGGGTGCTGGTTAGAGCCCTGCAATTGCTATATCACACCAAACGACTTGTCACATCAAAAACCACTCATTTCCCAACTACCATGCCTGTACTTACTTGGGCTGGCCATCTGACTGTGGTTACATATGACCAGCGCCTCCAGGGCATCGCTCATCTTGTCCCACTCCAGCAGGCCGGAGGAGCTTCTCTCCGCTGCGAACACAACAGCACAGGGAAGGGCAGGGTTAACTTACTGGGGTTTCACAGTACATGTCTTCACAACACCTGGCAGTATCAGTACAGTTCAATCAAGATTTCACCTCGACTACTTGCAATTAGTGTAGAAAACTGAAATTCCAGTATAATGGTATAAACATGTATATGTATCCACCACCCAAGTTGTTCATCCGTCACTTTTAGTTTAACAATAATAGCAATTGGAACAGATTGCAGGAATTGAAAATTGCAAGACATTCAAATAAAATTAAAAAGTGTGATGGGGAAAGAGATAACATTAACAAGAATGGTAATGCATATTATGTAAGTGATGGAGAGTCACCCACTTTTACATGACAGTGCTCAGGATTAATTTGTTATTGTGTTATTGTTATTGTTGCTGTTTGACATGTTCCATGTATAGATTTATCATTAGTCTCTACCAGACCTGCTAACTTGAATGAGTAACAAAATATGGTGTACACAAGAGTGAACTGGCTAATATAGACTATAATAGAGCAACATTTGCCAACCCTAGCCATCTAACTCCTCTGGACAGTTACATACCCTACTTTAGTCTGGTAGAGACTAATTTTGTATGCTGAAGAAGAAGAAGGAAGGATTTGGGTTTACATTTTTGAGAAAACATTAGGCAGGATTGCCGCAGGAAGCATTGACAATGAGGCCACTGTGAGCAACCATCCTGTTTTATACTCCCTGTTCTCAATTACTTCTAAAAAGGGTGTTTGCTTTATAAAACATGCATGCCAGAAACGACTTGATATGTAGTCGCATGTACATGTACGATTGCCGACAGTTTGTCTCCATAAATAGTTTTTTTCCCTGTAGAAGTTGGTGGATTTTGAGAACTCCTGTTATGATAGGAAAGACCAATGATCTATGTTGCTGACGCATGTTGGATGTTTTGGTTGTTGGTGAGGTCATGCAGGGTCAGAGTGTGTTTTTGAGTGATCATTATGTTACAACCATGCGTGGTTTTTCTCTGACCTGGTCTGGGCCTCTCGCAACCAGCATTGAATGGCATTCCTCAAAGAATGGAAAACACAAGCGTTATAAACAGGGGCCTTTGTCCATAGAAATAAAAAGAGCCGGTTTTGCCCATTTGAAGGCCTAACCAGCAACAAACCCACAGAGAGAATGAAACTGTATAGAGATAATGTACTCCCTCTCTGTCAAACACACAGCTCTGCTTCCCCCCAAACTTTTCCCATAATGCACTACGAAATCTATTGAAAGTGTCTTTAGGTTTAAAAAAATAATACCTGCCATATATTGCCATTGAAACACAGGCAACAAAATGTTGAAACAGCAACAGTTATGAACGTATTACAAAAGGATTACTGGTGATCTCTAATAGACACATGCTTGTTAGTGCATGACGAACTGTAAATTTATAAGAGGGATGGACAAATACACTCATAGCAGAAGGTGCAGTAAAATGTCAAACAGGGATAACATTGTCTCTATCTCAGTTCACTTCCCTTTCACAACCACCAACACAACCAGTGCATGAAATGGATAGAGTGATGTACAAGTCCATTTAACTTACTTCTTGATGGGAACATCTTAATAGCAGTAGGGGGAGGCACTCCTGCATCACTAAACGTTAGCTGAAAAAAGAAGACAAAGTCATTAGAGCCAATGTAAAAATAGGCACAAATTAACAAATCAGTTAATATCACAACTAAGTCCAGATGAAAACGTCTGTGTAGTCTTTGTCATTTTGAAGATTTGTTGATATGATGTTTACAGTCATCTATGAAGAACTACATGTCTGTTTTGTTCTGCTGATGGCCAAAAAAAGCAGCCCAAAGATGTCTGCATGTTAACAAGTCCAGCTATACACTTGGGGCCAAGTTCAAGTTGCTCCCAGACACTGAAAGGGCCCTAAGAAACAAACTCTGGCAGAACTGGAAAATTCTGATTAACCCACCTTCTGACATCCCTGAGCCTAACCTGTGTCAGATCATAGGGGAGTTGGAACATGCTGTAAGGCTGTCCCTCTAGGCCAAACCAGGGTGTTCAAGTTCTACCAAAACTTGATTGAAATAAGCATTCTTCTGTGGTATACTGGGGGCTTCATAAATAATACTGATGTCTCATTCATTCATTGTTAGTTGTTGTACCTACAGCCAAACTAACATTCCCTCAGCCGGGACGTACCTGTCTCAGGGACTCCTCTGTAGCATCAGGTGGGGCGTTGAAGAAGTGTAGCACTTTCGATGGCTGTTGGATACGTGCATGCGAGGTTAAGGAACATACAAAAACTATGCTGGGATAACAAACATGAAACATGGGCCACAAATCAGACTGCAAAGGAGTGCTGGGGTGACCTTACAGTATGTGTGTTTAGCACAGAATACCACACAACTAGATTGCAATAACAAACATGAAACATGGGCCAAAAACCACATTGCAAATGAGGACTGGGGATACATGACTTTGACTGCCTAAGTATTTAACACATGTTACTATGGCTCAGGGCCTGGTGAGCATACCCTGTGGACAAGAGGACTAAACAGAGGAAAGCAAGTTACCAGTTATCAGTCCCTGTTATCTCTGACTCTGGAGAGAGCTACAGGCAATAGATACTGCTACCACAGAGCGTGAATAGAAAGCGTGTGTAATCCTTTTCAAGTTGCATTTGTCCTTGATGCCAGTTTATCTCCATAAAGATGAAATGTGATGTTGAACAAAGACTTGATGGAAATTGCTGAATTGAAAAATGTAAAAATGTACCAATCTCAGTATACATTGTACCAGTATATGTACGAATGTCACTTTGCATGTTTTTGACCACAGGCTGATTTGGCTGGGGATTTGCTTCACATGTTCTCATCTGTGCCCATGGAGATGTCAACAACCACAGAGACAAACACATTAAAGGCTTGGGGCTACATCTGACCTATGTCAGATTTCTGGGCTTGGGAATGACCTCCTCATCATTACCTTAACCCTGCAGCCATATTTCTGCCAGGGAAAAATGTCAGCATTCCTGCGGAACCTAAAGGTGGGTCCCCAGGAGACTGTGGAGGGCTGCTGGTCAGGTTTGATGCTGCAATCTTCTCAATTTGTCACAGGTCCCAGCTGCCACCTGCTGACCCAATACTGGTCCTTACCTGCCACGCTGGGGCAGCCATGTCAGCTCCTATAACATACACTGCTTATCACTCTTCATCATTTGCATAAAAGTTCTCCCTCAGGACAGGCTAACTGGAACCACATATCTGCAAACTCAGCTTCTTGCCAGATCAATTTGTTCCACCCTTGCATCATACTTTTTTCATGATTACTGAATGCAAGAACCAAGAATAAGAATGACAGTAATGGAGAGAAATGTCCCTCAAACATGAAAACGGGCATTCAAGATGGCTTTCTCCTGACAGAAACGTGATAAATGAACTAAAGAGGTGGACAGAAACCACATTCATCAACGTCAGACATGTCTGTTCATCCTCTACATGAAGTTCCACTGGTGAGCCAAAAAGTCCTCCCTTCCAGTCCACACAATGGAAGGATTAGAGGGGTGAAGAAACTCATTTATCAAAGTGGTGTCAGAAGGACAGGGATAATGAGGGAACTGTTAGAGGAAGGAAGGAAAATTGCTGTAAAATATTGAAACAGAACTCTTCACAGTGAACATATGCTGTATGATCTACTCTGTTAATATGAATTTTCAGCATGATATGAACTTTGAAGATAAATTGCAGTACATTGTCAAAGGACCACTAGCTTTGAAACTATGTGTGTAATAAATGATTTGTCAATTTAGATCTATTATTCCCGTTCGCTAACATCTAACTTGATCATAAAAATGTTGTAATGTACATGTATTTAACATTACAGTCATATGGTATCTTTGCTGTTCCAACATTCCCCTCTACTTTCTACCTGGGAGCTGGGGATTGTGAAATGTAAGTCACAAGATTTCACTGCAAAAACACAACCTTCAGAGTGAAAGTAAATATCATTTTGGGAGGTAAAATGGCCTTCTGAAGTCCATGTTATCTGCTGTAGGTGTTTTGCTTTAGCAACTCACAGTCCCCTAAACATGTGTGTCTTACCAGTATTTAAACATGCCAAAGGGAGTACATGTATATACAAGTGTTCATTTCCTATCTAGGTCAACCTCCTCTTATCCCAGGACCCCTGGGCCAACAGTCAAAGCTTGAGCCTTCATAAGATCAACCTGCTGCTATCTATCTCTGAACCAGGAATTATCTGACAATTGTACTGGGCCATCACAAATCAACTTCATAAAAACTAAGTTATCATGTCAACAATGTCAGAAATAGTGCATGGAATTATTAACAAATGAAGGTATTTCTCAAAGATAACATCAGTGGAAGTACAAACATTGCTGGAATTCTGCCTGAGGCATCTTAATAAGTTCCTGTGTGGCACCAGTGGTATCACTGTTAATCTACCGTACCAATTAATACTCAACCATGCAGAAGATGCCAGCTATGTACCACTGCTGGCCATTCCCAGCAATTCCATGTTGTATACACAACAGAGACAGCAGCAATCCAATAGTTACCCACCCAGCTAACAGCACAGGTGGGAATCCAGCTCCATAAATGGGCCACAGTGACTCCTATCACCCTATTCCAGGTGGCTACAGCAAAAATCAATTATTGGGGGGGAAGTAATGGACCTTTGATGCTGACCTGGACACATGACTTCCCACACAAATCTGTCTTTCTGGCAGATTAAACTGATATGTAGTGGACGTGGGGTTTGGATTAAATTTTGTTAATGATAGACAGAATTAATGGACACTCTGATATTGTACTGTAACAGTTCAAATCACAGGTGAGCATGGCTTTTTCCTAGATAACCAAAAGAAATCTGAGGCTGGACAAAGCCCTGGGTGTTGCTCAGTTTTTACACTAATGTCTGTTAAGGAACAACCCTTCCCCAAGGCTAACATTTACAGACTACACAGTCAAACTAAGGTGAAGGCTGGCCAGTTCTAGCCTGGTAACCATTCTCCAAAGGAAACAATATAGCAGCAGAACAGAAAAAAAGCAGAGAACAACGAGACATTTGGGGCTGATCTCCAAGTTGTTGTGAATGGAAATAACAGTGTGCACTGGAAAATGATAATTTGCATGTAAAAGAAAGTGTATAGAAAAAAGTATGAGTCTATTATGCCCCTGTATGATCACTCCCAAATTTTACCCAGAAGCATTTCTTATTGGATTATTCTATAATCAAACTATAAATAGACAAGAACAAGTCTTTGAAAGGATATGATTTTTTGCAGCTGCTTCTGGAGTTGAGAACCTGAAAAAAGAACAAAAAAATCATTCTACTAATCATAACAAGACAAAACCTCTCTGCTAGAATAACCATAACAAATGCTAATTTATTTCTTTGGCTGTGAAAAAGACAGTTTGTACAGCCAGGGCAGCCCAACTAGCCAGGCGGCTATTATTAAGGGCTTGCCCTGCAAAAAGTATGAGCTCAAATGCTCATACATGTATGTTGTGTTATGTAACTTACATATACATGTCACCTATAGTATAACCTTCTAACATCAAGAGGTATGTTATTGGTATCAAGCTAGTCATACATGGTTACACCTGAATGAGTACTCAAAGCCTTTAGATAATAGAAAATCAAGAAATCATCTACACCATTAAGCAGGATGATAACAACATTACTGGGCAGTTCATAGGTTATAGAACATAACAAATGCCACTTTTTAATCTATTTTTCCATCTTTTGCTTGTCAGCTTGAATTTTTGCAATGGAATAAGTTGCTTTCAAGTTAACTCTTCATCTTTCCCATTGAATGCCAAGCTATATAAATCGTACCAGTTCAATAATCTTCAGAATCTAAATGTATCAGAATTTACTGATTCTGTTTCATACAAAAGAACAAGCCTTCATCTCAGCAGGATTTACAGAAGAGGTTAAACTATTTTCCAACACAGAGTAGCCTCACTGAATTTGTGACCATTTTGGTCGGCCACCATTAATCTATTTCTCCTGTCACACTTACAACTGTACATGTACAGAGGGGCAATCGGGTCCTCAATTATCCTGAAGACTACCAGAAGGCTGGTCAGATATAAAGAAGGGTAAGTGAAGATATGACCACTCACCTGTTATTCTTGGAGTTGGTGAAGTCTGTGTAAGAGGACGTTCCATCCTCCAGGAGGAAGGGCTGGCCTTTCTCATCAATAAACTTCTGCCTGGAGTAACTGAAGAAAGAGGCAAACAGTTTAAAATCTATTCTCACAAACATTATTCTTCAGTAGTGTTGAGTATGACATCAATAATCTTTTGCCTGGAGTGTTAACTCACAATACAAATATCACAAACATTATTCTTTAGTGGTGTTGTTCATGATATCAATAATCTTTTGTTTGGAGTAAAAACGTAACAATTACAACCTCAAAAACGTTATTCTGGTGTGTTGAAAATTTGATCATGAGTTGACTGGTTGATTCTGAGTTTCCCTGTTTTTATCTAGTAAAGCTAGATCTTGCAAGAATGTTGATGTTGAGCCCTATACAATTGTCACAATTTAGTATTAGGTTCAGACAAACATTCTGAATACATACTTACACAGGGTTTGTGCTAACTAGTGTAACTAGGCCATTCTAATTAACAACTTTTGTACTCAGAATACAGTACAGGTCCAGTCAGGCTCTGTATCAAAGCCTTTGCATGGTGACGTGGTAAAGCACAAAGTCACTAATGCTGTGGGATCAAAAATCTCACAATTACAGCTTACAGACATAAGACTGATAAGCCACAGCCGGACACAACAGCGACATGGATGGATGAAGGAAAACAACACTACATGAGACACCTCAAGGGTCAAGGATGTCTGTGGACTGTAATCAGGTATGACTGCTGCCAGGGCTTTGGAACCTTTTCACACCAGTTGGGGTTCTGCTAAGAAAGCTTTGACCTTCATGTCAAGACCTTGATGTCCCCTTTTGTGGATTAAAAACCTTCAGCAGTCAACTTTTCCTGACAAAAGATGTCAGATCCAGGGTAAACCTCAGACCAATAGTTAATCCACGAGTACGCTGAAATAAGTCTTTCTCACGCAGGAAGAGATCTTGGATGTACACTCATGGTTGAAAACCTGCTATCCTTCAAGCTGACATTTGACAGCGTGGCATGACAAACGACTGTTATTAAACAGGTATTTAAGATGGACAGGACTGCACGACCTACGAAAACCCACCATTGTTTGGAACAATCTTAGAATTATGTTTGTTGCCAAAAAGGGACGCACAAGTTTCGCAATGACTCAAATCCCATATTCTCTTCAAACAGCTAAGGTGCAACAAGCAATTCTGCAGCAGTTACAACAAAGCCAAAACACAAATGACTCATAAATGGGGGCAAATAAGTTACAGTAACACCCGAGGGCCCTTTACTGAGACAACTATGTTAGGAACTGAGGGCATTCCTCAAACTGCCAATAGAATATGTTTTGTAGTTTTGTAGTAGCAGTTGTTTTGTTGACAACTCAATGTCCTTGGAGGTCAAGGAAAAGGTAATTGTTGTGCTTCACATGGCTCATCAGTGTTAGAAATATTTCTAACACTGATGCGCCATGTGAAGCACAACAACTGCCTTTTCCTTGACCTCCAAGGACATTGAATTTGAGGGCTAGTATTCGAGGACAAAATATGACACAGCACTTCCAATCATAGCACTTCTGAAACCATGCCATTGCTATGAGCAAGATAGAGTGCAGAGATCTGGCCTAACCAAGGCAAGGATACACCCTGTCTGCAGATATTAGATGATCTTATGTTCTGCAAAAGGCCTTCACTGCAGATAAATACTACAGTCAGTTAGTCAGGGTCAACTTTTAACCCCTCTAATTAAGATAGCAACATTTTCTTCAGATTGTGCTGGGCGTGGTGCCTCATGTGCACACCAGTTCACAGCCTGACATTTTCTCCCTCAATGGGAGTCCTGACCCAGAACAAACCCGTAAACTGGTGTCAGCATTTCCAAACTTGGGGAGGTCAAAAGTTGTCAGTCATTTTTCATCTTATTTACCGCAAATCACCACAAAACAAGGTTAAAAGCCACTTGAGCCACTCACACCGCAGTAATACAAACAAATACATGTTTTGTACCTTTGGAAATTGAACATGTTGGTTGTGTTAGAAGTAATTGCCTTTCATGTCTTGTGATATGATATGGGTGCTCCACCAGTTGGAGACAAACTATTTGTTATCAAATTCTTGAGACATACAGTTGTACATTTGTCAATCTTTTCTTTACAATTACAGTAGTTTCCTCATCTTCTCCATGCCCAGTGTGCAGCTGCCAGGGCTGCTGACATGTCCTTGATTAGGATCTGGAGCGATGACACAGAATAAATCAGTCGACAAGTGGAGAAAAGGCAATGCTGGGTCGATTGACCTGTCGATCCTTTGACTCTATCCGCAGTGCTTCAGGGAAAACGGTTTCTTAAACATGGATGATACGGTTCTTTGTTCCACAACCAAAAGGATTTATTGCCCCCAGGCAGGTAGCAGGAGGACTACTGAAACAATGGAACTTGGAAGGATAATTCTTTTGTTGTGCAACCAAACAGCAATTATGTACCAACCTGATGAAACTATTCACAAGCTTCTACATACACATGTAAAACTGCAACTTAAAAAACCTAACAAGAGGTGGCTGTAACTACTTAGTATTTCTGTAAAACAGTGTTTAAAGTTGTGTATGACCACACTGACTTCACTGGCTCACAGCACTTGCCCACACACATAGAGCTGTCACATTGAAATATGCCACAGCTTTATTGAAACTACAGAAATACCAGGAAGTAGCACACTATGCTAATTTTGTACTGGTGAAACGTTCCTTCCTGCAGTTAACTTCTCAGACAGAAAGCCCACATGTCCTATTCTCCCTGGTAATAGCCAATGACATCATCAACCCACAGCGTAATGTCGTTATGGTCTGACTGTGGGGCCCACAGGTTGAGCAGCTACGAGTACCTCAAACTTTGAGCTGGAAGGATTTTTTATTACAAACCACACCTATCAACTACAAATCAATGTTATGCTTACCTTTAACAATGACAAGAAAAAGATGGCATCACCTCTTATAAAAGCACTACTCAGGTTTTACTGAAAGTGATGACTGACCAGAATTTTCAACACAACCCTCAACTGGCCCCTGGTCGAAATGATTAAAAACTGTCTTTTTCTGGTCCTTGACCATGACACATCTTATTGTAGATATTCAGACTTAATAATATCATATTCAGGATAAAGTACATGTAAAAGCTGTTGTGTGAACAGCATACAACAATGATATTGACCTTGTTTTCTGTCAACATGTCAAGTGCAATTTTGCTGACATACAACATGAGTGTGCGAACATGTACAATATATGTATTAACTAACTGATGGCATCCATTGACATTTTCTGGTCACAATAGGGGTTAGGTAACTCATGTTCTTCATGTCAAAAACATCTTCTGTCTCAGTTGTTAGCTATATTGCAAGTTGGGGGCCCTGGACAGTAATGGTGGGTCTATTGGAAAATGGTCAATTCCCCAGAGTCATTACACGGTACATCAGCAGCTAAAGGCAGCAGTTACTTCCAATGGGGCTGATAGTATCATTCATCATCCTTCCTGCCCCTAATGGCCCACTGCACCAGCACAGGGTCATTTATTATTCACAAGGACCCAGACGCCTCCACTTCCCCACCAACACAGCTGCCACTTGGATCCCATCTTCCAACACATTCATCTCACTTCCTTGTGACTTTACCTACAACCGTCTCCAGAACTGTAATTCTCTGTAATTGTCCCAGGTAGTCAGGAGTGTGTATAACTGATCGTTTGTTGTTGGCAACATCGAGACACGGACTATAGAACTAGTCCAGCTGCACCATCAATATTTGATGTGCTGAGTCTAGTATATGCACGGATAAAGGTCATGGTCATATCTTTCAATTAAAGTGTACGACGTGGGCCTTATTTCACTGTCAGCATTTTTGTGTCAACCAAGACACGTGGGTCAACCTGAAGCAATATGTATCTAGATATTGAACTGGAGAAACAAAAACTGGCCTGAACAATAGGTGTGGAGACATCATAAAAGAATGCCACAGTCCAAAACAAAAGAACCAGTGACACAACTTGAACAGGTAGTGAATGTGCAGGTAGGTAGGCTGTCTCAGCTGAGTGTCATATATGTAGCAATATGTATCTAGACGTGAAACAGAATATTCTACTCATTATCAAACTGAACTATAGAAACAAAAAATGGCTCAAACAAAAGGGATACAGACACCAGAAAAGAATACCCAAAACAAAAGAAATGGAGACACAACATGAACAGGTGCAGGTACATGTAGGTAGGCTGTCTCACCTGAGTGCCAGCTGCTGTCCGAACAGCACACAGGTGGACAGGTTGTTGATGCAGCGCTCCACGGCAGACGGGTCTCCCATCTGCACCATGGCGCTTCCCGGCTTACTCTTCATGAACTTGATCTGTGGTGGGACACAACCGATTCACTCACTTAATTCCCTCAAAGGGTCTTAGTTACCACAAAGAAACTTAGCAGAAAAATGCAAATTCTACATTTTAATGTGAGCATTTAAAAAAAAATTTTATGTTGATTATGGTATCACCAGCTTTGTTCAAACCCATTTGGTTCCCTCAGAATCTTTGTGAATAAGCCTGTTGTAACAGCCTGTGGCTAGTTGGGTAGTACTTACTGTATGTCTTCATACAGCCAGACAAATAAATTAATAACGATTTCTTGGCATACTACTAGTGTTCCTTTAGAAGTTAACATATAAATCCATGAGTCTGACAATGACCATGCTCCATACCTTGATGACGTTGCCATACAGACAGAGCAGGTTGAAGAGTCGCTCACAGTTCATCTTGTTGGGGACCATGCCGTACACCATCACCACTGGGCTGCCCTGAGGTCCGGGACCCCCTGGACCTGGCTGGGGGGGACCTGGGGAGTAGGAGGGGGGCTGGCCCCGCTGCTGGGGAGGGGGGCCCATGTTACCCCCTCCGGGTCCTCCCATGGGGGGCCCATACTGGCCCTGTCCTCCGAACTGTTGGTCTTGTTGTAAGGGCTGTGAAAGAATAGTGGTGTGTCAAATACGAGCAACTACGAAATCTGCAGATGTAAATTCCTTGCTTCAAATACGAGGTGTGCATGTGAGAGTATTTTGTTCATTTCTGATCTAAACAATCCATCTTACTGTTTTCTTAATCTTGATCTATTTTGTCCTTTCGTTATCTGTTTTCCATGCCATGTTTTGTAAGCATACTTTGATATGACTTTGACCCTATGAAGTAGCCTGCAAGTCAGGTGAGTAACAACTTCGACATAAATGACCTCTTGGTCCAGGAAGGAGCATCACTAACCACTGGACTTTGGCACTAACTTGCCTGTCAGGTGAGGTACTAGTCCTTGGCTTATGACATTCTTGATCGTGGGAAAATCACAATCTACATCAAGGCACATTTCCCCTGCAGCTACAGCACACATGCTGGACAAAGTAGGCCTTCTTCTTACCAAATGTGTGATAGACATAACAGGTAATGCTCACTCGATCTGATTACATTTGAGTAATAACCACAGCACAACCTTCACTAACCGCTTTCGGCACCTGTTCTGAAACAGGACTGCCTGCCTGTAATTTCTCATTACAAGTGGGACAAATTTTGTGCAACCATCAAAATGTATTTGCTGCAAATATGCAGGCCTGATAATTACCCTGGAGGGGGGCAGCTATGATTTTTTTTTATATAATGAGCTTTCACAATGGGTTGTCTGAAACCTGTCCTAACATTACAAACCTTAAGTCACTCCATTTCACATAACCAAGGCTGGGAGTAGCCCAAGGGGCATGTCAGGGCACTTTTCTTCTGTCTTTAACCAAAACCTTATTAGGTTGGTGTCAGTCCTCTGCTACAGGACCATACTTAACAAGATCAACTGCTGAAGGACACAAGTGTGGACTAGCCTACATCCGGGGGACACTATTAATTTCCTACCACAAAGTAATAATTCACTCTTCTGCCTGATCCATGTCATCATTTGGTTTGGTCAAGCTAACAGTAAAAGGTGCTGGCCTGCTACAAAAATGTACATCACAGCATAGCGAATCATTATGATTGACTGATATTTTAAAGAATAGCATTGCAAGGAGCTGCAATTTGTAACAATTACATTGCAAAGGCTAACAGAAAAGTCTACAGACGTCACACACCACTGCCTCAGGGCCAAAAAGAATTGAAGGTGATTAGAAGGTGCCATTAAAAGATTCCTCGTGTGCAAATGGAAAGTAAATGATCTTGCTACAACTTTGACAACTGAGTATGTCTGAGGACTTCATTATGCCTTGGCTGATATGCTTTTCATTATTGATCATATGAGAGCTCGAAACAAACCTATGGCTATGACATTTGAGTACAGCCCTGGGGAAATACCTGCACTGATGAGGAAAATTAGATTTATTCAAAAATTATTAGGTATGAACAGGGAACATTAGATTTGGACTAATGGAGAAGACTAGGGGTGGCTTGGAGTGCTTGGCCATACTGGGGATTGTGTGTGTATATGTAGGCCTACATGTATGCCTTCTCTCCTGACACTAGATGACAAAAACATCATTCCTACATTACCTACCTGGTAGTTCTGCCCTTGGTTAAACTGGTTGTTGTAACCCTGGTTGGGAGGGTGGCTCTGGTTCCCAAAACCACCATGTTGGCCTGGGGGGTTGTGATAGCCAGGACCTGGGAACTCTTGGTTACCTACAGCACACACACGGACACACAAAAGGAGACTCAATCATTTGTAAGATTTAGTACTGAGGTATGACTTGTCCACATGCAAAGACCTACAATTTCTACTAAAATACACAATTTTATACCGTGCCGCCTCTCAACTCTTACTTTTCAAACCATCCCTAAACAGCAAGAACTTGTTTTTCCACTGACAGGATTAATTGTCAGACTAGTGTATCTTCATGAAGTTAATCCACCACCCCCTGCCCTTGAACTTTGCAGTGCCGTCTACCCACCGAAGTTGGGCGGGCCGGCTCCTCCACGGCCATTACCGTACTGCGGAGGTGGATCCCTTAGGAGGGGGCCCTGGTTCTTTCTTGGCTGTTGGTCTGGGGAAATAAAAAAAAAATTATGTCAGCATCTTCAAAATCACTGCCAAACTACTATCAAAGAGACCGATATGGTCTTGTCCTACTGATTTCACTTATGAGGATTCACTCCTCCTCTTGTACATCTTTTGGGAAGTTACTACAAAATGTCAAGCCAGTATCAAGTGACATACTTAAACGTACGTATTTTACTTAAATGTTAAATTTGAAATTGTTCTTGTAATATAATACCAAATGCTCAATGCTAAGGTAGACAACAATGTATGTCATATATTTGTGAGTTCCGTCCCATTGTATGGTTTGAATTACCAGTTAGAACAAACACTCTTTACGAGGACACTTTCCTGAGTGATAAAGTGTCTGCTTCAAATTTCATGCCCCACAAACACCAAGCCCTAGACAGTAGTAAAATTGCCAATAACACGTTCACAGCATTTCATGGTGTAAGACTACACCATTATACACAGCAGCATCCTCTAAAACCAGTGCCACACAGCAACACAATAGCTCACCTGACCGGTCTGGAAGTTCTAGAGGACATTTATATAGGCTAGTGTTCTCTCAAACACTGCACGATTTTTAGGGATCAACTGATATTTGTAGATTACCAGTGAAATCTGATAGTGTAGATTTTCAGGCAAAAATATGCAGGTAACTTTGAAATTTGGTGATCAACAAATTTGGCTGAAGGCTTCTGACAGTGTGACACTGGATTTAAGAATACCATTGCACGTACTGGAGTACAAGGCAATCTACAAGGCAATCTACAAATCATCGAGCAATACTGTCACCTATCTAGTGTATGGTAACATGTATGATATTTCATTTCACAATCTGACATCTAGGGTCTAGGCTTCTGTGACTATGATCAATGCTTACATAATATGACTTTGACAGATAATGTAATATCATAAAAAGTTATTCTCAAGGTACTTCAGACATGTTAGTATAGCATACATTTAGTACTGTAGTCGGTTCCACTTATACATTGTTTAAAAACAGTGCTGACAATTGCTTAAGATTAACTTTTCACATACAAAAGTGTACACAGGTTTGCCAGCTAGTACCATATAAGATATTCATGACTTCTAAATCTGTTCTACCAGACCACAAATACCTTTGTAGCATCAACGAGTCAGAAAAGAATGGCGTGGCTCCCGCTGTGTTTAGTTGTGCACCTGGGATGATGGAACGTGCCTCTCGCAGCAGCGCCGCCAACACAACATGGCAACCAAACAAAGGTCCCCACACAGTCCTTGCCCTACAGCCTGTCAAATTCACAGGTGGTGATACACTTTTAATACTCAAGGCTCCAGCCAACAACATGTTTTGTCTGCAGTTGGAAGGACCTCCAACTAGGAACAGAACATAAGATCATCATGCCCAAGTGCTGCACAAACTTGCTCATATAATGGCTTGTCAGATGCTTTTATCCTCACTGGTTTTGGTGCAAATCTGTCTGCCACGTCAAGACAGCCCATTTTCTTGCTATTATCTCTCTATTATTATACGTTCTGAAAAGGTTGTTTCCAACCAAGCTGTGGTGACAGCATTAATGTCTGTCTTCTTTACATTTTAAAATTAATTTTTCTTGATGAAAGCAACAGTGGTTGTCAACTCTGACACGTCTGTGAAGCACTATTTGAGCACACGATCTACTGCAAGGTTCTACTGATCAGTGTTCTTGTTCCGTGGCCTTGTGCGGGATCTTGTCTGTTGTGTTGTGGCATGCCATGAGAGGTACTGTTGCCATCTTGTCCCAGTGTTGTGTGGTGACAATGTAGTGACGTCTCAAGTGTCCAATTCCCCACACCAGAACATGTTTTACTACTTCCTCCTGACGGAAAGGCATCAGAGTCATGTCTAAAGTGTCTAGAGCATCCGTCAGGGGACCTGATCTCCCACAGGAATAGCTGCACGTGTGTAATGTCTGTCCTCCAGAGTCCAGATTCACAGAAGAAGGAAGGGTAGAGTACGTGAAGAAGCAGCCTTTATAACCCATCAGCTTTTTTCTATACAGCGTGTTTTTCCAACCTTGGCTACACCCACAGGGATTCCTCTACGTGTGTAATGTGTTGAAAGAGTCCAGCATGATAGAGGTTGTTCCATGGTGCATGTCTGCATTAGTTCGGCACTCCGAGCTCACACCGAACTCTCCGAGATGTCTGTACATTGTGAGGTGTTCCCTGGTAACTATCCGCTGTTATTTCTTGTGTTCCTTGTGTGCAGTAGTCTCTGTGGCTGTACTGTTCTCAGGTGCACGTCTTCTGTTTTGATGTTGTTGTTCAGTATACATGCTGTGCGCTTGTTGTTCCCCGCTACCCGCACTGTCATGTTTCACTGTTTTCTTTGTAATGGACGGATGTGTGAGTTCAATCAATGGAGATGGGGTCCAGAAGCACTCGCAACTCGACTCTTGTGCCTTAGCAAATCTCTTCTTTGGAAAAAGAGTTCTAACCTCCTGCAGGGGGGCACTCCAAGTCAATAGTTATTTAGTTTTTACGTTAGTCTGTCATAGACAAATGTGAACGAGCCGTGTGCTTTTTGACAGAGTGCAAATCGGACAAGTGTTGTTAGCAACCGAACCCCATCTCCATGAGTGAGAGTATTCAGGATCGAGGGAGAAGGATGGACACAACATAGATAGAGCTGGAAACTGGTGAACTTTACGGAAAGTTGAAGCACTAGACTGTGCAACCTACCTCCACCACCTGACCCCAGGTTAGGGTTGGTGTAGTCCCATGTCTCGCTGTCGTTCTTATGCACGTTAAGCTTGGTGGGCTGGGGAAAGAAAGAAATTCTTTAGCTTTCAGATATTGAATGCTGTTTGAATGTCATTGAAACCACATACACATGTTGAACAAGAAATCCTTGTGTTTCCTCAACTATTGTATCAATCTTTGATTAAATGTGACATGTTCAATGCTATGATGAAATGAGCCAGACAGCTTTGCGTGACTCGCCACAGAGACAGGAGCTACATATACTTGATAACAGGGCTTTACAATATACAATGATAATGGATCATACTCATTCATCAAAAAACCGACTCCTGTTCTGACATCAAATTAAATAAAGGTCTGTCATTGCTGTGACATGATGATCCACTGCTATGTCTATAAGGACCAGCTATGCACTCTGCATATTGTTCTGCCTTTTTCTCATTTACTAGAATCATAAGTTACCATAAAACAAGGCTCATGTGCTACTCAAGGTTGAGGGCTACTCAAGGTTGAGGGCTATTTGAATGAGGAGTGAAATAAATGCGAGGGAAGGAGTGAAGTCCCTCAAATACTTCAAATAACATGGGATCTGAAGATTTACCAAGATGTTGCTTTACCTTGACATCACTCAACAACAGGTCAAGCTTTTTTTCACATTTCTGTGTTAATGATTGTTTTTCAGGAATGTCAGCACTTACAATTAGTAGTCTAAGGTACTTTGATCAGTCAGGCATTAGTTTTTGTGTTACATGTACCTCCCGTCCTGGCTTTAGGCAATTTTTTACCCATTCTGTCTGCCTTAGAAGTGCAGTGGCTGAGCTCTGTCACTTAGAAGTCTTACTTTATCCACATTTACAAAAATAATGCCAAGCTTAAAATCTTTAACATTCACCAATCACTGACCATTATTTTGTTACAGCTAGCAATGAATTATTGAACAGACTACATATCCCTGATGACTGCTGTAAAACCACTGCATACAATTGGTGGTAAAGTAACATAATTAACAACAACTTGTGTGGTTGTCGGTCTGCTCAGTTGTCTTTATATACCTTGTCACACCTGTACGTCATAAATTCCAAATCATGTGTCAAAATGACTTTATTATGCTTATTTAAGTAAGGCGCTTAGTTGCTGCTAACTCTGAAGAATGTATTCCGTCATGCCTGCAACTGCTGCACTTGTGTGAGTCCGCATAATTGAATAGAGATCCATGCTTACTGGGTTTAACTCATCAACATGTCTTACAGCGTTCTTTTATTTACTCAACAACTGGGTCTTGTCTGTCTATACTGGGTATTGTGTCTATACTAGTCTTGAAATTACCACCCATGTATGAAGATAACTGCAGGTAAAATTGGAGTTGTGCAGGTATTTTTGCACCTTATCTTAGTTCTACATGTAGGTATATGAATGTTTGTGGATTTTTATTTGTTTAATTCACTGTTACCATCTATGTAACTGTAATGGCTTCTGATCAGTTTTCAATGCGATTCATATTTCCTAAAAATAAAATGATCCTAAATATTTCAATCCCTGCCATATCTTCTTGCCCAGTACCTGTTGGTTCCCAGATACTCACCTTTGCATATTCGATCTTCAGGGTACAGCAGCCTGAGTAGATGTCAGCCCCATTCAACGAGGCCTTTGCTTTCTGTGCACTCCCAATGTTGTCGAACGTAACCATGCGGTTAAGGAAAATGCATCAAAAATAACAACTTGAATCATGAACAAACTAAAACTTAGGCTTCTGTATCACCTTGATGTACATGAACTACATAGCTATCAGCCAGATGGTGCAGATGGTCATAAACTCATAAATGATTATTATCGCCCAAAACACAGCAGACCTACATGTGTGTAATCCTACCCAGCCAACAGGCATCTAGTTCATGTACCTGATATAGCCGGATTCCATTATAATTAATGTCACGTCCGCTGCATAAGATTTAATGAGAAAACTACCCATCACATACTACAGCAAAGATAGTAATGTTACAGTGTTATCTGTTCAAATTTGATATGTATGACAAATAAGACTAACATTACCTAGTTATTTGTCTATTTTACATATCCTCCAAAGAAGCAAAAATACAATGTACGCTGCTTCCAGTAGACAACTCTACAAAAAATATGCTGCTTCGAGTGGAATTTCTAGCAATGTTCCTACCCATACCTTTTTTTTATTACACATTTACCACAAACATTTTCCACAAATGTGAATTTTAATTGTAGCAGGAGGGTGCTTAGTATGCATACATATATTGTAGTCTACACACTTTGGGCACACACAGTACCAGTATGTTTGAATTAATTTCAGCAAGCCTGCTGTAGGCCAGCCTACAGGCTTGGCTTCCCTGCCTTCCCACCAAGGCCCTGATATTTCATCACCCTGCTGGAACAAGCCCTCTGGGAACCTGAGCTACATGGACTGATTGGATTTGGCCTCAGTACAGGCAGTGGTAACACAGTGAGACATGTTTGGGGATTTCTCCTTATGGCAGAGAAATAAATCAGATCATTCATAGTGTGCATACAGGCATGGAAAAGAGATAAAACCAACCAATCTCTAACAACTGGTATGAAGAGGCCCACTGTGTAGAATTATCTTCGTAACAGCATTATTACGTATGTGTAAGGAAGATTGCCTTGTCTAGTGGCATACAGCTTGACTGAACCAAATAAAATAGTACTGAAGGTCTTCTCCATTTTTCTGTCATTGTTGTCCTTGCCAGGTCCACAACATGTGGAGAGAGTATTCAGATGTTCTTATCTTAATCCCGGAAAATTACGTGAATCACGATCATCTGATAAGAATGTCAGGACTCTAAACACAATCAGGCAAAGGTTACTCCTGACAGAGATAATTGCACTGTTTATGCCAACTTCAACTTCCTCAATAGGTCACTGAGGTGACACGTAGCCACCATAATGATAAGTCTCCTTCAAAATGTCACACTACAAAAGACAGCGAAACATCAGACAACCAACAGTCTTGGCTTGTTTAAATGTAAAGTACCGACACCAGATTAAAGTGTGGAAATGTGTTTTTGCTAACAAAGTTAGGATATTTGAATTCAGTTGTAATTAAACCTTGAAAAGGGTAGCTGAAATGTCATCAGAGGAAAGACACCCACAATGAATGATGGCCAACAAATCTAACACAAAATGGCCTTCAAACTGCATATCCCCTTTCCACCAGCTTTGACCATGATTCTGGAGTCCAAGTTTAATCCTGCGTTAAATCTGTAAACACTCTCTGCTTGACTGAACAGCGTCTCGCCAGCACAGAGCACATCACTTAGGGTGTGGTGTGCGTGTCTGGGTCTGTGATCTTTCCTTGTTACTGAAACCTTGGCAGTCAGCCAGACCCGGCCTGTGGCTTGTTAACCCTTTCTTATGTAACACAGATAGTTAATGCATTTCAGACACTGATGAATACCTGTGTGTGCTGAGGATGTGGGCAGCTGCATCACCTTGCCTGGGTGACATCCATCATTTTCTTCCATATGACAAGATTAAGTGTTGTTGTTTGATACACAGAACTCCCACTTAGCGACAGAAGGGTTACCACCTTGTGGCATTCTCAGTACCATCTTGGCAAGTTTCAAATGTAGGTGATTTTTGCTGGTTAAATTCCTAAAACGTTGCTTGTTTTGGACAAGTTTCAACCTCCCAGACCTACATGTACTGCATTATCTTGCTCTACATTTCTGGGGAAAGCCCTGACAGAGTAGTAATCTTTCTTCCAGTTATCATTAAATTGTTAGCGATAAGTTTTATGGAAAGTTGTGCGTGCAGCTCAAACAGAGAAGTCTTTCACCAAGAGGTTAACTTGATGCTGGGATAGATGGTCTAACTTATTTGACAGGAGGTCTCCTATATTACAAACTAATGAGAAACACACAAGGTAATGTTTGAACGGTAAATGTCACAGTTCCAATTTTTGGACACTGTTGTGCTGTTTCATGGTCTACAGAGAATCGAAAAATGTGAAGAGGCCAACCTCTGACTGAGGCAAAGCCTGATGCTTTTTCGATAGCAAGAAATGGCTGCCTTACCATGCTCCCATTTCTCAGTGTTACCCCTACGTAGTCGGGTCCTTTTACGTGCATAGTTTTTACACTTAAAGCTCCCATATACATGGGACATGAAGCAAAAGATGTACGAAGTTAGAAAACCAATCAGGAACTGTAGAAAAAAGGATATTCGACCATGGCTTGCACGCCATTTTTCTTGAAGATGACAATCCGTTGGACGGCTCCACAGGGGCTGCAGATGGTGTACATCACATCCTGCATATGTAGAAGGGTTGGCATTATAATCATTACTACATGGCCATTACAACTCACAAGCCTTTCCTTCTTTGATATTAATAATAGCTAAACAGCATCCAGATTCAAATGATTATGCTGACAAAAAATTAAATCAAATTCAAATGTAAAAGGCTGACTGAAAACCAAGTGGTGCCATGGACTTCATTATTCAGATTTTTTATGTGTTTTCTATGATAGTTTAAGGAATAATCAATCACTGATAAGATGCTGATTTCTTTCCACATGCAGGGTTCAAAATCCTCTATTTTGCACTGGTGCAGGTTATATGCATGCAGTATTTGGAGCCCCACTATGTCTAAACAGCAGTTCTGTAACTTACTTAGTGTTAGTTACTTACAGTTGTGATGGGGTAGGTGGGATTCAGTATGGTGAAGAGCAGAATGTGATTTGCATTTCTGGTGTCCTCTGGACCGCTGAAAAAAACAGTAAAAAATTGCTTAAAACAAACCAGTTGTGACTAGTATCGAATTATATACATGAAGACTAACCCACCACTGTGAATTTTGTGACACATAGACTAAGCTGTCTTTGTTGGACACTGAACAGAGACACATACATGTATGATTAGTACAAAGGATCATCTACCAAACATTGGGGACATTGCATAATACACATACATATGATGTTCAGACTGACAATGGTATTTATCAAATATGAAAAACTGCAAATTTCCTAGAATATCATTAGTACCAGTGCAAGTAAGACAAACTAACCCTCCCTCACTTGCTTTGTTCTGTACATTAGTGTGTGTGGGCCACACCAAACACTTACTTGTGTCCCACTGTACCATTCCCTAAACGTTGCCGGCTATGAGAAAAAGAAAAAAAATCTAGGGCTTGAAAGCTGTTGCTGTCATCTTTTCTTCAAATAACCCTTGAGTCAACTTAATCAACGGTGACATAATATAAAAAGCAAACAATGTCAAAATATTATGAAGTAAGATGTACAAATGAAAGTAACAAATGCTGCTATACAAAACTGTTAACTGACAAAAACGGTAGAATAAACCCATCTTACTTTGAACATTACTATGGGAATACCTACAGTACGTTACAAAGGTATCCATCCTATTCTAGCTCCAGTTTGCTCCTCGGAAGGTCTTTTTCCATTATGCTGCTTCTTAGAAATATTTGCTTCTTGTAATAATGCAGGATGTAAAGACCTAACATTTCAATGGGGCCAGGATAAACAGTGGAAAGATGATCAGAGGAGGGAACCAGAGTTAGATTATGAAGGATAACAGGGCCTGAAGCTAACTGTGCAGCTGTATGTGATACTGAAGATGATAGGGCAGGGCATGACAACTTTCTCTTCTCCGCAAAAGTAGTGCCAAACACAGCGGCTACTTACCCTGGGCGGGAGATTTTCTGGCTGGTGGAGTAGTTGAAGTAAGCCGGGCTGCCTCCAACATAGCACGTGTTGGTCTAGAGAATACAAAACCAGACAAAATTTTACACATCACTATCAACAGAATATTCCCTTCCTCAGTTCCCTCCCAAATTCACCTTTACATAACCCTGACTGGTTTGTAAGGGTTATGTAAGTACCACAACCATCATTACAGACAAGACCTGTGCACTATGATTGACTGAGAAGGTTATATCTCTTTTGTTGCATGTTAGGCATTAGTCTCCATTGTAAATCATCACCTCAGAGATGGCTTTTGTTGTGTCTTTTGAGCGTGGCAACGGAAATTGACCTGTTACACACGCCACCAAGCAACCAAAATAGGGGCCGACTGGGAAGCATTCCATGCCTTCCTGAAGATATCAGCCCAATCTCAACAACAATCCATACACATTGTGGTCTTACAAAAGGTAATGCCATGTCATTGCAAGAGCACCAACTAGAGCCCCATAACGTGGCAAAGACTGCTTTACACAGATCACATGGAATTTCTTGCCTATGTCATAATTGACAGGCCTCTTTTGATATTAGCACAAATTCCAAATGCTATAAATGTATGCCCACCTTTTGTGGGAGAGATATCTTTTGTGGGGTGCTTTCTTCGAGTGAGTGAGATAATGAATGCATGATACTGAGATACATATATATCGTACAGGTTGTAAAAGCTGCAATATAGCATCCTACAGAAGCTGCAACATTCAGACCCTAAACAAGCCCTCCTCCCTAGCTGTGACAGATAGTACAGGGCAGTAGTTCCCATCCACCCACTGGAAAACTGGATGGGTGGGTACCAGCAGCTGGAGACATTCCCAGGGGTCTGTGTGTGCATTCTGCTTACTGATGTGAACACAGTAACTGAGCAAGGACCAGATACAGATCTATATGCAATGTACAATTGCTTGTCCCTGTGCAAAAATAGCATCCATGGCTGAAAGTCTGACTATGATTGCAGCTCCCTTTGGCTATGCATGTAGGGGCTTCAGACAATTTTGTCCTTTCTGGATAGATCTGCTAGTATGGAACACCACATGACCATTATACCTGCTGATAAAGAATAGTCTTAACAAAACAAAGTGACACCTATCCTATAATTTAGACCTCTGATTTGTGGTCGTGCAGTCCTGTCTATCCAATTTTGCGGGGTCATTGTCCTTTGTTTTCCTTATCAGCTTTTGTCTTTCTGGAGGCATACACACAGTAATTATTACCTGGTGCTGTGCCACAAATACTGTCATCAATCAGACACATGTGCCACCACCTTTGTATTGGAGATGTGGCTATTTTGTACGACAACAAATTTACATAATAGTCATTTGTGCCTGCCATAGTTTTCTTTTTCAATTGTAAACAAGTGAAAGAAGGGGAATGCAGCTCTGGTAGACACAACTTCTATACCGCTTGCAGCATTCTTGTAATCTTACTTGTAGTCGTCCGCCAGTTGGAGCCCATTAAAATAAGTCTTTTTCCCCTTTCTGTTGAGTAAACATTGCAGGCTCAACACTACTGCCTAAGGTCTGTTTTGTTTACATAAAAGTTACCAGTTTCTTGCATATCAAACACCTTCTCCTGTAAAGTCTGTAACTGTATATAAAACCCATAAGCAGCCATGCTTTTCCTTGTGATATTGGGGAATTTTTTTATCAACATGACAGCCCAAGTACTATGCATCACAACATTCCTGGCTGACTTCAGTTTAATCCCCAGGATTACATACGATGTTTAGCCTACGAATGCCTTCACCTTTCTGTCTACTACTGGTTGGACAAGGTGCATTATGACATGACACCCAGTTTCTCGTTCTCTGTAGGAAAGTTAGCCTGGGTGCCAGACTCGTTCCAAGGCCTACACTGTGAGTACACAGGCCAGTTCCTCAGTTCCATGGCCAAAATACCTCCAGGAAATTATACCACTGTGACAGCACACGGCCACTCTAAGGTAGGCCATGCTGGCCAATTCTAGACCGGTGTGCGATGGGTGTGGCATCCAGGCTATACGAGGATGGGCTTTCATAATCTCTAAGCAGATCCTACTGTGGCAAGACAGTATCCATTGGTTTGAGGAGTGTCCATCTGCCATCAATGGAATGTGTCTTGATCTGCCTGGAGATTAGGCTTTCACTAGTTTCAGGCTACTCCTACAAGGACTTCAGCTCCAATTAGTTTCTTACACATCAATGGGCACATCTGTTGATTGCTGAGCAGACAATAAATACATGATGGATCACTGAAAACTGTTTGGTGCTTGACAAGACAATGTTCCCTCTGGCAGACTAGCATTTTTGTCTTTACTTTGGTGCTTCTTGACTGCTACTATACAAATGTACATCTGCCCATGCTTATGTTTTTTATGTAAAATGATATTGTCCATCCTACCCAGTACCCACACGCTTGCAGTGCTTTTAGATGAAAGCTTCATACCTGGGCAAATTTGACACAGGTTTCTGCTCCATCTATGTCCTCAAACTCAACCAGTGCTTGTCTCTTCTTTGGCATCATGATAACATAGCTGTAAAAAACACATGCAGTAATTAAAATACAAGTTTTTTTAACAAACTTCTAGTTTTCTTCAGGCCACAGCTAGAGAAGTTTACGGATGACATCTTCAGGCTGTCTTTGCCTGATTTTGTTCCCATCTGGCGATGGTCAACATGACAGGGAAATACAAAAAATGGGAAAACGTGTTCTATCCAAAAATGTTCCAGATGCCATGACTCAAGTAAGTGTGGTAACCTTGACCGTAGTTGTAGTGATGACCCAAGGCTACCACACTAGTGTCAGTCTGCACCTGTGACTTGTGTGATACCATGTTCTGTTTTTGTTTTACAACCTATCTTATTTTTCCTTCCTGCCCTGACATAAGATTTGGAATCTGCATAGAATGTTATCCAGGAAATTTACTTGCTGTGGCCTTACGTAAACAATTCATTCACCCCTGCTGACCATAGAATATGTAACAAACAACAGTGTTTCAAATTAGGAACCTACAGTCATTAGCAAACAAGGTCATTAGCAAACAAGCCGTAACTAATACTGTAACAGAGAAGTAATAGGCAGGACTCATGGAAGGAAATGGATGAAAATTGCTACCATCTGGACAGAAAGGACATGTTCCACAGCTAGAGGAGTAATCTATCATAATCAAGTATCCTTCATTATGCAACTGTGTGGAAGATATCTCACAACTTAGGTATGGAAATTGATATTGAGCATCTTTGTAAGGTCCTCCTCTGGCACAGAAAGCATAATGGACCCAGGTCTAATGTAAGACAGCTTCTGGCACAGCCAAGCTTCAATGTAAAGAGTACTAGTAATTCAATAGGGTGGGTGGATTGGATTTTATAAATTTATGTCATCAATTTTCTTACCAACACTCTTTCTCAGCTATTCTTCTGTAACCTGCTCCTATTACTTATCTTTCTATGCTCCAGATTAAGTGGATTGTGGAATTCTTCCTCCTGCATTCTTCTAGACCCATGTGTCCATATGGTTTGGCTTTACCTGTCTTCTTTGATCTTTCTTTAAAACTGTATCTAAATTCAATTCAACTTGCTCCATTTCACACTTGCATAGTACATTTTGTATTAGAATATTGATGCAAATCACTAAAGCCAAAGCTGACCATTGTTTCTTGCATGTGTCTGGAAATGTGACCAATGCTTGCAACACAAAGAGGGCACAGAAGATTTTATTGGCCATTTTGGAGGCAAAAGGCCATCCATTGCCTGAAGGGCCTATTACAGACACCATAAAATAGACTACATAAACCTTCCTCACACTGTTGAGTATGAATAGTATTGTACATTTTGTACTTTCACTGGAATGTTGGACAGTATCCATCCTATGACATACATATATACTTTACTTACCTTATGCACACCTGAACCAAATTTCACCACAAATGTGTTCAATTTACAAATACAAATGTATTAAGAAACTAAATGAGATACTGTGCAGATTTCCATTTCTTTAGACGATTTACATGCCTGATGTGATTGGAACATAAGAAAAAAGGAACAAAGGCTCAAAATAACACTCTGCATATATATTGTATACATTTTTTCTAGTAGTAGTGTGATCACTAGACAATACATAACAAATTCACTTTCTCCACGTGGTGCAGGTATAATTTGTGCAGGCTATTTTGGATGTTATCTGCAGAAGAACTATCAGCCTTGCTTTAGTACTGCAGTGTAAATGATGTACGGATATAACAGGACTGGCAGTGAATGATGTAGTACAGATATAACAGGACTTATCTAGAAAGCAACCCTACAAATCACAGTAGTGACATGACATCCCTGACCCCATATTCCTGTAGCAGACTGATCATCACAGCTGCATACACCCAAACTGGACTTTTGCCTTTCTAAATGAGGAGTCTTTGACATATACACTGTAAATTATAAGATATCTATTGCACCCTTACATATCTGTAATGGGAATAGGGAAAGATTTCAGCACATCAAAGACTGGAATCTGCTTTTATCTCTGAAGTTTCTCATTTGCCCCAGTATCTCCCCCATCTGGTCCCTTGAGGACCAATGATAACATGAACCAGTGATTCCCTCAATCTCTGGAGCTTCCTGTGACACCTGTTTTACCACTAGGGAATATAGCCCTGGGAAAACACTATAAATCACATTCAAAGAAAAAGCGGCCTGAAGAATGAACAAGCTGAAGGAACATGACAACCTGCAAAGGAGGATAAATACAGAGAGCCTGACTGAAAACTGGCCTCATGCCACATGTTGGTAAATCTCCCTAAGAGTGCATGAACTTCACTGAGAAATATTTTCTGGTATGTCAGACCTGATGGGTCCGAAGTGCTGGACAGCTTCCACAATGTCTGCTTCGATGACATTCTCTGACAGACTTCGCACGTGCACAACAGGTGAAGGGGATGGCTTGTGCGGATCTTCAGACTTGTCCTGAAAACAAGAAACAACACGAACATCTTAGTTTTAAAACACTTAAGACATGACAAAGCCATTACAAAGTACAATGTTATGCCTAAAGCTTGTGCAGTACAGTGCATGGATCAAAGCACAAGAACGATACAGTATCTCTTGGCTGTTGCTGGAGGCAACAGAGTCCCATTCTTGTTCAGTTATTTCAGTGATGACTGTAATCTGTTTCTATTACCATGTCAGATCATGATCAGACATTTTAATCATAGACATGGTAATGCAATACCAAAGATGCTAAGTATGTTCTCTTATAAAGAAAAAAATTGTTAGTGTGAACATTTTATTCAGGCAAGCAATAATGAAATCACCTGTCCTCTTTGGGCAATTCAAATTTATATATCACTTTTGTGCCTCTTTCTTCACCTTGTGAAACTCCCAACATTCTCTAGTAGTTCTGGTGATGTTACTGTTACTGTACCATGCATAATAGGGTCAAGGTAGAGCTTCTGGGTGGAAGGGTGGGAAAACCTCCAGTTTGACTGTACAGCCGTACTTACCGTACTTACGATATGTACAGAAAGTGAGCTACCGGTGTACTCATAGAATGCATACAATGTCCACTATTAGAGATGCACTTGTGTTGTGTTAAGTCTTTTGTCCTGCATGTTATTGTACCCGACCTCTAAGCCACAGGTTAAAGGGACACATTCCACAGCAGGGCTGAGTCCATGTCCTGCAGCCAAGACATTTGTGGCTTGCAATTTGGCCAAGGGCAACGCATAGATTCACTGAGCTTGAATTAAAGTGATTAGTACAAATGTAACATGGAAACTTACTTGGGGCTGTCCTAATGGGCCCTATCTCCCTTCAAAAAAATAGTTACCGTCAGTGTGCTTTTATTTATTTCACGGTGTGTTTTCAAATAGATAATATTCTTTGCAAACTGCAACAAAGGTGATTATTCAACTGCATGAGCCATGAAGCAAGATCCTTTGTAACTTTCGCTTTCTAGTCACCTTTATTGTTGGACTACCTACTTGACAATCATTAATTGATGAATCAATATTGATCTGCATTGTTACAGCTCTAATATTTCCATCTACACATTTAATCTGTCAAGGTCACTGACCTGTACTGGGCAATAAACATGGAGGTGTTTGTAGTAAACACATCATAGACCCATAATCTCTGAAATATGATGTTTGGACATTGACTTAGAAGTTAACATTTTAATACCCTCTTCTGAGCAACCTCAGAGCAATTTTTTAAAACACCATTTCTAACGTCGCCATTTGCCTGGTACTGAGACAGAGTCATTTCTAACATTGCCATTTGCCTGGTACAAAAGGATGCACCACAGGAAGTTCCACGCAAGATTGTTTGCAGGGCGAGACATATGTACTGTACATGTAAGAGACAAGTAGGGCATAAGATATATAATCTCTAAGTACATATTCTGTGTTCTGACAACAAATCCTAGTCTCAAAGCTGACATTGGAATAGAAATTAACATTGTCATCTCTTTGGGCAGCTGGGCTCCCCTGACACTGACAGTCAGGCTTCTCTGGCAGGAGAGGGTGGCTGTCAGAGGAGCTTAGCTGTCAGAAACTTAGCTGTCAGAATATGTTATGATCTTCCACCCCGACATAAGGTTAGAGATGACACATGTCCACATTGGTGCAGTGTGAACATATATCATCTTGTGTTCCATGATCCTACTGACTAGAGAGAGCATTGTTCCAAATACACAGCTTCCCAGTTAAACATATAATTTGGAAGATCAGATTGGAATAAATCACATAAAAGCCTCCCTGATATCTATACAGCAGTAAATTACCACTAACTGGTGTGGTTTGTCTTTGCCTTGACATTTATAATGGGCTGTTCACCAACTGTGTTCAATTAAGCATGAAATATTATGACAAATGAAGCCCAGTATTGAACCTGCTGACAGGTCTGATGTTTGTGAGCTCCAGACGGATAGCTCCATTGCTTCTTTAGGAATTAAGCAATCTATCTTAACATAGTAAATAAAGAAACAACTCATTCATACACATCAAGCAAGATTTTTCTATTGTGCAATTTGGAGCATAATATTTGTCAATCGTTATTGTTAGTAGATTTACAATACCACTTGGAGGACTGGTCACCAAGTAGACTACTCCACACACAAATAGACTTGAGAACAGATTTCATACTTCAGACAGACAATTTGATTTTGTCCATTTTATTCATCTATTTTCGTTGACGCCATTTGGTGCCAATCTAAATTATATTTCCTCCCCAATCTTTTATCGATTTTGTAACCCAATATACAATTTGCTGGTGTTGTCTTGAACGAAAAAATACGAGCAGAAATATTGCCACGATATATTGAAATCCCAGTACACCACAGTCTCTGATCGTTAGCGACGTTTCCTTGGCGCATCTGGACGTCAACTGGATGGGATTTGGAGCGAGCGATGTGTGGGAAATAGATCGTTGGCACGCCATGCGTTAATCATGTCCGAGTGTCACCCAGCCTGTGGCGTGGGGAAGCGGCATACGGAACCCTCCCTGCTGTTCTCGCCACCTCGCAGGAAGCGGCGTTCCCAAGCTTTACACGGACGCAACCTAGACTATCGTGCTGATCATACCGGCGCCATGATATCCTAGCTAATGGGCAACGCCGGGAACGTCGCAATCAGCCGTCCCTGTCCACAAGGAACAAGCCCGAATAAATTTGCACGCGATACGCGTGCCTGTCCACATCACGGTAAACAAGGCAGCATTCCTGGCTCCTGTTGCAAAAATATCAGCCTACACATCGCACCTAGAAAAAACATGTTCTCTACACTTTAGAAAGCAACGCCTTACCCTAGGTCCGGACTGCACGATGTAGCCATCGTCGATTTTCTGTTTCTTGTTGGCGTGCCCGTAGTCCCCCCTCTCGTCGGTCGCCATCTTCCTGCTGACTGTGGTGCGCACTGCTGGCCGGCTGTGGGCGGGGCTGACCTCTACTGACGTCACCGCTAAGCATAAACAACCAAAATTACCACCGATTTACCGGGATTAGCATGCCCTGTCATAACCGTGAAATAAAAGAACCAATCTTGACAATTACTGTTGCATTTGGCAGTCTAAAGAGGTTGAAATAATCGGAGGAAGATTGCATCCCATAATTCTCGGTTGAAAACTGGGGGTCAAGAGGTCAAGGTTTAAAAGGCAGGCCCAGGTGAGAGGAAATGAGCGGGAAAATTTCTGTAGAAGACTTTGGGACGACACCTGAGGGTCGTGCAGTCCAGCGCTTTGTCCTCAGGAACAACAACAACGTCTGCTTAAAGCTCATCTCCTACGGAGCGACAATCCAGGCCATAGAAGTGCCGGATAAGGATGGGACGGTCGCTGACGTGACACTAGGATTTGATACTTTAGATGGTTAGTCGGGAATTAGTTTGGACAAAGGGTAACAGCGTCAAGTCGTACTTTGGTCCCTGCCACGCAGGCACTTGAACATTGAATAGGACGACAAGAAAGCCACCCGTCGGTCTCTATGGCACTGAAAGGGGCACTCGATATAAATTCTCATCAAATGGTGACCGGTCCACACTGGAATTCTACCTGACCAAATATTTTGATTCAACTCCACTCTACTCTGAAACTTCTCAATCTCGCAATTTTTTCAAAGTGACACGTTGTAAAGCCAGTCCCCAGGGACGCAGGTGGTGTTCCTGACTACTTTCACGTATTAAATGTGTGGAGAGACAGCTGGTAAACATGCGGGTCGACCCCCATGTGTCCATCAATGGCACCATATCAATAATTCATCCAGCAATTTCACGTGTTATGTTCGTCATGGGTCGTAGCCCGGAGCAGTTTTGCATTGATAATTGAGTGTAAAAGTTGAATATTGATGATGTATAGCCCCATTAGACATTACTTCGGCACGAGTCAAAGCTTCAAATACTACGTAAAGTTTATACCAGAAATAAATTGTTCATAATCCAATTTTTTTAATGAAACAGCACCTCCTCTGCTCATCTGCCACCTAAGTTAACATGCCACATTGTCCTCATCTGGCTGGAGCATTTGGTTGGAATCAAGATGCCCCACTAGGCTGGTTTATAGAAGGGGTTTAATCGAAATTCCAAGGAGATATAACAAAGTCTGGCTCTTAGCCTTGACCTATCTCGTATTCACTGGTATGTGTCGGTAAAGAGAGAAAAAAATATGAATAAAACTTTCTTACGATTTGCCGCCAATGTGTTTTCTTTGGTACACGTACCTGTAAATTTTATACGAGAGAGGTTATTTTACAATGTTTTTTATTGTGTCGTTTCTGTCAGGATACCTTGGCAAGCACCCGTACATGGGTGTTGTGGCTGGGAGAGTTGCCAACAGGATAGCCAAGGGGACCTTCTCACTGGACGGGCAGGAGTACAAGTTGGCTGTTAACAACGGTCCAAACCACCTACATGGCGGACTGAAGGGCTTCAGCCATGTAGGATTTGCTATTCTTCATGCACATTGCACAATATACCTTCCCAATAGGATGTCACAAAACATATAGTAGATCTTTGTACTTAAAAAAAGTTTGCACTTGAAATGGAGGTGTAACAAAATTGATAGTTGACAACTACAGTTAAATATATGATTATCATTGGTGCATATCAGTAGTCACAAAAAAATACATGTCTCTTGCTGTTATATTATGCACATGAAATATACATGTATTCAACTTACACTACTTGCAGTTACAATGCATAGAATGCTGGTGCTCAGAAATAAATCAGCAGCCACCAGTTGCAGAACAATTTTAATATACAACAAATTTTTTACTGTGACTTTGCAGTACGTGTGGGACAGCTGTGTGGACGGAGACAGTGTCAAGTTCACCTACGTGAGCGCAGACGGCGAGGAGGGTTATCCCGGGGAGGTCACCGCTCAGGTCACCTACAAACTGACCAATGACAATGAGGTTGACATCCAGTATCAGGCCACCACAACCAAGGCAACTCCTATCAACCTTACCAACCATGCCTACTTCAACCTGGCAGGACAGGTAAGCTGTTAGGATACCTATAGTTGCAATGTTTTTTGAGGCTGTCTTGTGAATCAAAAAGAAGCTACATTGAATATGGCACATTCTTGTATCAGGCAGACCTTGATATTTTGCTGTAGACTTTATGTAAAATATGATACTGGACACAATTCCTTAGCAAATCTGTAAGTTATAGTATACAATGGTGTTTATACAACTCATATATATATATATCCCATACCTGACTTGCAATGGGACATTGATTTCATTTGATTTTTTTGTGCAGAGCGAGCCAACTATCTATGATCATGTTATTGCCATCATGGCAGACAAGTACACTCCAACGGATGATGATGCCCTCACAACAGGTAAGAGTTGCACAAACTTTCTGTCTGCAAAGACTGCCCTTCAGGTCTTCCAAGTATGTCAGAAGAAAGATTGTATAGACTTACGGGATGTAAAAAGGCCTGTCAGTCTTTCATGCCTCCAATATGTTTTAAAATTGATTGGAAGGTGCTTTCTCAGTCAATGATGAATGAGAGCAAAATGTTTGATTCTTCAGAAAATTTATCCAGTCACTTGAATGGGTGTTTAACCTTCATTGATGCTTGAAAGGTGCTATTTTATATGCACCAATACGAGCATGTTTTTTACCCATAACATTAGACAAAAACCTTCATTGCTGCCTAGATGCAGGGTATAGCAGGAGAGAAACCACTCACCTGTCCGTAACTCAGATTGCGGGCTGCTGGCAGCAGTATGAGCTTGGCTCCGCAGGCAGAACCAATAGGGTTGGGACTGACCTTTTTCAGAGCCGACGCACAAGTATAAGCTAACCTTTACACATGGGCTGTCTTTTATCTGCAGCCTTTAATGTATGAAATCCCTCCAGGCTAGTTTAATTGGTGTTTACGGGCGGTACCTGACACCTGGCACCTTTGTTCAATTTCTAGAGTTGGCATTTCCTCATCTGAATACAGGGATATATGTGGAATGTGTGGACGTGTTACCTTATGATTTGGACGGAGTAAAGATTATTTTCTTTAGTGTAATGAGTAAAATGTGTTTTGACTGACCAGAGTTGAAGACCTGCCACCTGGCATGGCTCTTTGTTATGGTTGTGTAATGGTGGGATATTGTGACGTGGTTCCTGAGTATGCTTCCTTAAACCAATTATTTAGCTTAGCAAGTCAGTAATAATGCGTGGTAGATGGTCAAAGGTCAAGAGAAAGCAAAGAAAAAGTTAATACCTGTGACATTAACAGGGTTTGAAGTAGGTTTTACTGTACTAAATTTGTTAATCAGACATAGAAAAACTTTGTGCTACACTATACACTATACCTAGAAATTTACCTGATACATATTAGCTCTAGAGGCAATGAATAGAAAGATGGATATTTCATACTCCATATCTCAATGTGTATGGTAAAAACATAATGAAAATATCTTATTCCAGTTCAAATTCGGCTAATCAACCAGCCAAATTTGGCATTTCTTATTATGGTTAGTGTGGATTTAAAGCTTGGAAACAAATAGAGGGCTGATTTTTTTTACCAATGTAAATCGATGAATTGTAGAAGTTTCAAGTAGGATGATTTGATAATTGACTTGGTTCTTATTCTGTCCCAGGTGAAATCTGCGGAGTGGAGGGGACCCTGTGGGACCTGCGGGAGGGGGTGAGGATGGGCGACCGTCTCAACTCTGTCCCAGGGAAGGAACCTGGCTACGATCACAACTTCTGTATCACACAGCCAGGCGACAAGCAGCTGTGTGCCAGGTGAGTTCAGACACAAAAAACTGGTAACCTCCAGCACCATTTAAGTACCAGAACGCATATATCCGCTCACTTTGGACAGCAGTGTGTTTTAAAGAGATCTCTAATGAGACATGCCCTAGGTATTTACAGTTACAGTTTAGATATGCAGGAGTGCACAATACTGGGGCATGCTATCTTGGAGATTTCTGTAAACACATCCATGTACGCATGGCACAAAGATGGAAATGGATGTTACCGGTACTAGACTTTTGACTCAGGTGGAACAGTTGACTCTCAGGTAGAAGACAATGCTCAGATGACATAATGCAGACACCTCTGATGATGTCATCTCTGGCACTTTAATTGCTGTAGTGTGGTTAATAAACACCCTGCCCTATGCTGATTTGTATCTTTATTGTTGTTATCATTCACTCTCTTTCTGATCAAATGAAACACTTCAAGTTAGCTGTTCTGCCGATGTGTTGGCGTGTTGAATGAACGAAGACCTTTATTGCACATTTTTGCACACAAGTTGATAAATGTATGATACACTATTATAGTAATTCAACTTCACCTTACTTGTTAGGTGGAAATAAAGGAACAAATGCGTTTTACGATAGAAGTTTTGTCTAGCTGTATGAGAAATATAAGTTTGTCTACAGTGGATGAATTGATTCCTGCAGGGCGCACCATCCGGCCAGTGGTCGGACTATGGAAGTACGGACCAACCAGCCGGGGGTCCAGTTCTACACAGCCAACTACCTGGATGGGACAGTTGTGGGCAAGGGTAGGGCCAAGTACAACAAACACTCAGGCTTTTGTTTGGAAACCCAGGTCTACCCAGATGCCATCAACAAAGTAAGCTCTGTTTTCTTTGTTCACTGTTGAAGTCACACCTTTGTTATTAGGGATATATATATATATAGGGATAGGCATCTATCATTCTGTAAATCTGCCTGACACTAAATTTCTGTATATCAAAGGCTAATGCTAGATAGTTGTGTTCTCTGCCAGCACAAAAACATTTTGTGTGTTGGCGCCAACATTGTATTGGACGTTATTGTGGGTTATCTGTGATTATTGCTGGGGCATTAAGCCTGGAATGTTCAAAGTTATATATAATCAGGAGTGATGATGTTGGTGTCCACGTGTAGGAGAGCATTACCAGTAATGGCAAAATTGTCCAATCTTTTGAGAGTTTGAGCTTATCCTTTATCATCTTTGTTTGAAATTCTTGCTGCTTGACTAAACGTTTTAATGCTCTCTTTGCTGAAGTATTTTACAGCCTGTTGGCTGAAAACTTGCATACAAATGACAGACCATACATTGTGTACGAAACAGACATTTGAAAACCAAAGTATTGCTTTGTTACAAACACTGAACAAAGTTGAACCTTCAGTGTGCAAACTTTTGCATCACACAATGTAACTTACTTAAGGATGTACATATACCCGGTAACATATTTCCATTGCCTCCTTGTCCAGCCCCACTTCCCCAACAGTGTGCTGCGCCCAGGTGAGACGTACCACCACCACACCTCCTTCAAGTTCGTGCTGGGGTAGAGATGTCACCATGTCCTGACTTCTCCATGTGTGCTGCCACAAATACACCAATGTGCCTTCAATAAGTCCCAATGTTCAGTCAAACTGTGTCTCTGAGGATCGTGCAGACAGTATATCTTGGCCTCAAGTATGGCAAACGGCCACAGAAAATATCAGATAGTCCCAATAAGATCATAAAAACTGGGGAAACTGCATCTGGACTTAAAATGATCTTTCTTTCCTGTTTAATACATTCCACATTGTCCACAAGGAATACCCAGTGGAACAGACATCAGAACATTGTGGTAGAGTTTGGCAGCAGTTAGAATAGATCATGGTGCATTAAATGCATCTTTTTTTATTGATTCACACTCTGTGATTTGGACTTGGGTCTCAGACCATATGGAAAAGCTTTGTTTCAAAGTTTGATGCTTTGAGTCCATTCCAAGTCGATGTGAGGGTTGACATTGCCATTGTTTATCATGAAGGGTTTCAATTCATTGCTATAATCAATATACTAGTACATTATTTGACATTGTCCAAACATTTCAAAATTTCATTAGACATTCTAAATTTTTCCCCACTTTTGATGGCCACTTTAGAAATATTTGCAAATGTAATAATGATTTCTAATAGGTGGCACCCCTGCATTTACTGTATTTTTCTTTCATTTGTAGTTTTATATTTTGAAAATAATTTAGAATTCTAATTTAAAAAACATTACAAATATTATCAAAATCCCTTGTGGTGACTTTTAATGGAGTCTACCTGTGATTGTTGCCAACATTTCTGCTACTGCTTCATGTGCATTGTAAATTTCTGTCTGATTGAAAATCAGTGCAATGAGAAAAAAAGCAAATTCATGGCAAGCAAGAGAGAATGCAAACTCTGTTGATTACATGTTGCAAAGTATTTGCAAGAAAAGTAGTGATACTGGAAAGTAAATGAGTCTTCCTTTTTATACATTTGTAAACAGTTAAGTTTAAATTGATATTACTAGTTATACATACATTTGTAAGCATCAATACAGATTAGTGGTTTAGTTTTATACATGAAGAGAAAGATTCAAGCAATATTTTACCATAATTTGTATTACTACATGTAGTATTAAATATGATAAAAACAACATTCCTAAAAATTTTTGGTCTTGTTGCCATGTGTTCATTCTATTGAAATATAATTCTAACTACAATATATGTGGAATAAACACAATCACTACCTCTTACCTACAGGATGAAGGAAATCTTTTAGTTTGTGCAATGCAAATGAAGCTGCTATGTGGTAAAAATCTGATTGTTATGCTGAAACAGCTTTTCTAGAATAAATGATGTAATATGATGAATAAAGGGCTGGTGTCATTATTTTTCATAACACATATGATAAAATAAAACAGCTTGCATGAAAATGCGGTTTAAGGTTATTGAAGGGACTGGAAAATGTGGCGATGTCACTAGATCAATCGAGGTGAAACCTTGTGATTGTTAACAACACAAAACCGTACACTGCGTAGAGGAAAGGTCCAAAAGGTGCCAACACGCAGCACAGCAACGGTTCCTATCGACATCATTATGTACTGCAGGTAAATACCCAGGGTCTTCACCTAGTTCAACCACGGTTGAGTTTATGATGGAGGTCAAGGACGCTGCTGGCCTGCTGTCTCCATTGTAGAACTATCCTGGCGGCCTGATTCTGCAGTACCTGGAGCCGCTGCTGTCTTACCACACCGCAGCTCTCCCACACTGTCGCAGTAGTCCATGACGGGAGCACCATTATCGTTATATAACAGCTACATTAACTGTCAGGCAGGGTCTAAGACGCCTGAGTAGTAGTAGTAGTAGTAGTAGTAGTAGTAGTAAGCCTAAACACGATAAGCTTGTTCGGGAGCCTGTGTTCGGTCCAACATATGACCGCTCTTCAACAAGGTCGAGGGTGCGGAGTAAAGCTAAACGTTGAGTTACCTTAGTACAGAGTTTGTCAATATTTACATTCCATGTCGGTTTGTCGTCAAGAACAACTCCTAGGTACTTGAAAGAATCCACTCTGTCTATGGTTTCATTTCCAATTTTTATTGTAACTGACTTTACAGATTTTATCTTTCCACTACTACCAAATTGTAACCAAAATGGTGCCGTGGAAACTGTCTTAGCGGTCAGACTTCCCTTTGCCAGGGGAAAGTGGATTGTGGGAATATTTGACTCATTTCTCGGGTTCATAGCTGTTCATAACAAGCAATTTGATGCCAAGGAAACTGTTTTACCGCAACACTATGTCCTGTCACACTGTCTAGGTTACAGAGTACATGGTAGCAAGAACAGGATCTAACGATGGGCTTTAATTGCGCCCCTATTATATACGAATAGATATATACATATATACCTGTATGTCAGGGTAGAGACTCAGATCTGGTAGAATTGGCGATTCTACTGGCGGAGATCTAAATCGGAGTCTCTGTCCAACATTGCCTAACATATCCTTAAAGTTAAACATTCATTGGACAATTATATTACTGATAGCTACTGATATCATTTAGACAGTCTGTGCTTGCCATGAAAACTAAATGTCTTTTAATGCTGCACGTATATGATACTGAACAGAAATCGCAGATTGTACCATTGTCGCAGATTGTACTCCTAACGGGATCTCTACCAGCAGAAGCGCCGATTCTTCCAGATGAGAGTCTCTATCGTGACATATAATAGTTTGAGGCTAGGACCTGAGGACTAAACTAAATTAGTGGGCCGGGTTTCATGTGTGCCCTTATATAAACACATGTACATGATTTTGTGAAAGCACTAGGATGGCTTTCTTTCTTAAGATAAGACTGCCATTGGGTCAGAATATGATCGAACAGTTGTAAAGGTTAATGAACAGTTGTAAAGGTTAATGAACAGTTGTAAAGGTTAATGAACAGTTGTAAAGGTCAATGTCATTTGACAAAGGCATTAGGTCGTAGAACTCTAGTTTACCATACACGCATACAGCACACACACACATATGCCTACGTTGCATGTTTCTCTTAAAGATATGTCATAATATACTGTCAATGATAAACGTTCATCATATTGGAAATTGTGAAACTTCCCAGCTACGGGTGTATGCTGAATTAATGTATTTGTCCCCAAGCCACATTTTTCTGGCAGGCCACGCGTGTACGACCTTTGTGTTTGCTAAGGTGGCGAGCTCAACGAAAAACTACAAAAACAACTTCAGTTACAGGTGCAAACCAAGATGGAGAGTGTGCCGCTCCTGTCTGGGTTAGTTCTGGTGGGTTTGTTTGGTCTGTTTGAAGGTAAGAACACCTAAATAGACTTTCGAACATGTGTTAAAACATAAGTCAGTGCAGTAAATCTCGACAGTAATGTTAGGTGTCGGTGGATTTCCATAGACACATACGTTTGATTTGATGTCCCTACTTAATTGCCTTGAGGAAAGTACGCTGAGTGAAAGAAAATGTTACCGCTTTAACACAAGAAAATCAAACTATACACTAATGACATCCCCATTGCGCCTTTGTGCCAAACAAAAGCACATCTTGACCAGATACATGTGTGTGACCTTCACCTTGTAAACCAAATGACCGCCCTGAGGTCTTCGGGAATTTTCTTTTTATTTCTTTGTTCTTTTGTTTCCAGCTGCTCTGGACAACAAGGGCACTGAGTTCATCCTGACTTTTCCGGAAAACCTCCAGAGAGGCCAAAACTCCCCGAAGCTGTTCATCGTCTGTCCAGATCCGCTTGGGTCTAGAGTTGAAATCACTGTTCCTCATGACAATAATCGAGTGAATCGAGTGAACGTGCGTCACGGGCAAGTAAGTCACTCTTTCAACCAAGGGATCAGCAAAAGCTAAAACAACCTGCAATTGATGGGTTTCGATAAGTGTAATTGGACGTTTATACACGGACATCTGTAACAACTTCAAGTTCAACTTCTCGTGACAGCTTTCCAACCTAGCACTTACAGGTGGCTGCAGGTAAATAGATTTTAATGCGCGTAGATCTACGAGTATCTTCTGTGATATGGCTCGTCATCATCTTTGTAAAAGGCTGACACGCATCCAGTCATCTCTAGAATGTGTAAGTAGTATAGACCTGAGCTAAAGTCAGACAGAAGGTTGTCATTGAGATAGTGTGCAAACTGATTGGGCTAGCACGTCAGTAGAATCCTGGATTTTCCCGGTTTTCGTTGGATTTTTGGTCAACGTTGCATCAGAATTTTGAGTGTTGCAGACCATATCTTTTCCGACAAAACATTTTAAAACTATTGTCGGAATGCTAACCTTTTATGCGCGAATGCGACGTTATATGAGACGTTCTGTCGAAGTGCCATGTACAATACATTACACGTTCTGCCGACGTGCTGATTGGGCTAGAGTAAGACTGGGAATGTCTGGTCTAACCGGTAGTTGTTTCGGCAGGTGACAGAAGTGGAACTAAACCGCGAGGCCGTGGAACTCCGTGGAAGCGGGAAGAGTGACGGCGTTGGCAGGGCTGTTCACGTCGCGTCCACCGACGGTGTGGAGATCGTGGTGTACGCGATGTTCGCAGAGTTGGAGAGTTCTGACGCCTACCTGGCCCTCCCCACCGACGTGTTGGGCACCGAGTACTACACGGCCTCCTCAAGCATCGCACGCAATGGGAACGAAGAGGGCTGGGACGACATGCCGTCTCGTAAGACACCAGTTCATGCGTGTATTCATTTCATTTAGAACATTTCATAATCCCTGGTACTACAGTGGTAGGTACTTCCTCAGTATGTCTAACTCCAATGTGTTCTGTTATATGATGCCCATCATTGGCTTGTTTTTAAACTTTCATGTCCTAACGTTATATCTTGACAGAGTTCGGAGTAGTCGGCGTGCGCGACGGAACAACCGTCACCATTGTCCCCAGCCAGGACGTGGAATTCGACAGACGGCACTACCGCGCAGGACAGTCATTCACTGTGACACTGGACCGGTTTGAGACTCTTCAGGTACATGTATATAACAATTAGATAGCCTGATTTTTCTGATGAATAATTTTTTTGAAAATGTTGGTGCTGCTGTGCTGATTAAAGGTGATAGACATGAAAAATTATATCTTACGCATATCTAAAAGACAGCTATACTGCAGGTACAGGCGACTGAGGACCTGACTGGCTCAAAGATCACGGCTACCCAGCCAGTGGCCGTGCTGAGCGGAAACCTGTTGGCTGCCTGCCTGCCTGCTGGGCAATCACGTGCTCAACAGGCGGGCAGCGGAGACCACATCGTGGAGATGATCCCGCCTGTGGACACCTGGGGGAAGGAGTTCGTCACCGTGCCGCTCGCAGAGCACACAGACGGTGACCTCTTCCGTGTGGTTGCTGCAAGAGACAACACACAGGTGTGTTTTGAATCGTTACGGAAACATTACAGCTCGCGTTTCAGTCACCTGTTTGCATAGTGGGCTTGAACGGATGGTCTGTCTCAGGGGTACAGGTTCATGCAATTGCGAGATAGAGGGTATTTTTTTCACCGCATTGGTCCATACCTCGGTATCTTGTACTTACCGATACTTCCACTTTCTGTCTTTTCCAAGGTCGACGTTACCAATGAGAACACAAAGATTCTGAACGCTGGGGAATTCTGGGAGATTGATGTCCCTTCAAACGAGTACAGACACGTGACCACCAGTGAGCCTGTCCTGTTGGTGCAGTTCAGGTAGGAGCTGGTAGGGGCAAAGTTGAAAGGGCAAGACACGATCGATTGGCATGGCCTATTACGTTATCAAGAACAGAACAGAATTTGAGCACAAGCACGCTCGCGCCCTTTTTCAACAAAGTACCCGAACGATTTTGTCACGTGGTAGCCTATTCTCAATCTTCATGTTAGATTAACTTTGTAGCTGAAAACAAATTTAAAGCATCCTTAAACCATGGAGGTAGAAAAAGAGACTTTCTACCTCCATGCTTAAACAATGCAAATTCAAATTCATCAATCTAAATGTTGCGATCTTTCAACTTCTCAACAGTAAGACCGGCTCGGCTGACAACACGGTAACTGACGCGTTCATGATGATCCTCCCAGATGTGGGCCAGTTCGAGAGGAAGTACAGCTTTTCTACTCTTGACCTCATCAATGTCCCCAATAAAGCAACTCATCACGTCAACCTGGTCACCAGGTAACCTTTCATATCAGAACTTAAGGGGTAAAGAGAACAAATACAACAAATAGTACATCTCCTCCAAAGCACAAGAGGAACAGGTCTTAATCATTAAAACGTCTTCCATCATATATATATACACAACATTTAGTTTCTTAGTTTAGTCAGTTCATGTACTTTCTCCGATTTGGCACCTGATACATGTACAGCTCTGCTGATAAAGCTGGTCTCCTATTGGATGGACAGCGGTTGCCTAGCGACACCGTCTGGCATGACGTACCTGGGACCGACTACGCCGCCACGCAGCTGACTATTGACAGAGGCACCCACACAGTTGGCCACATGTCTCCTATTGTTAACACCGGTCTGTTCAGGTGAGGAGCGGGACTGTATCCAGCATGTGTGTAAAATGCATTTTGAAAAATGCCAGAAGTAATTAGTAAAGAGAATAAATCTCTGTATTAAGGACATCAGGCATTCTCGTAGTGTAAACGTCTATGAAAGTAGTGTAAAACAATATCACATCGACTGTTGTTTATGATATTTTGATTACTGATTACCTTTGACCCAGTGTTGACGTTACACTTCAAAAAAGCCACGTGACAAGCCTCACTGGGTCAGTCTACTGAGGAAGACCAGAGTGACTGGTCGAAAGTTCTAGGTGAGAGAACTTTTTGTGTTGGACCAAAAGTTTTAACTTAAACATGTTGATTACTCGTTGATGCTTCCCAACTCCCATCCAGCTATGGCTTCTCCGAGTCGGAGTCGTACGGCTATCCCGGTGGACTCCGGCTGGCCCGGATCGCCGCCTCGTGCAGCACCACCGCCCCCGTCCCCGCCGACGGCGAGGATAACGACTGTGACGGACGGGCGGACGAAGAGCTGCTGAACGCCCTGGATGATGACGGCGACGGGCTCATCGACGAAGACCTGGCGATCGGTGAGAGAAGTCTTGTCGAGCCACATTTACGAGATCATTAAATCATTCGTGTGCTCTTCATTTTCGCTGCTGTTCTCCTAGGATTATCTCCTAGACCTAAAAGGTGAACGTTCATGTTATCTTCCTTCCTCTGTAGGTAACTGCGCTGACCACAGGGACCTGTACAGGGAATGCTTGGTGCAGCGCTGCAGGAACCTGGTCCCTTAAACAGGCAAAGCTATGATAAAAAGCTGTCAGATATACAATGTTCAGTATTGTAGATCAATGACATTGGGAAGAGACAGCTGATTGACCGTAACATTACTACACAGTTTCTACTATCTAACGTTACATGTAAATTAAGCTTGCAATGTCCAATGAACACCAGTCTATTAGACTGTAATGAACATGTTCAAACCGGTTGATAACAATGATGGTCACCGGCCAATTCGACTCGTGTGCCGAATCATTGAGCCGTAGTTTAATCTACCTTTCAAAGAATGTTCTATAAATGTACCACTTAATGTAACTTCAGTGCACATTCACTCGACTGTAGCTTAGTGTATCACTAGTTAGTTGAATGTCGATAATTGATGTATTGGTATCTTTCTATCGAATAGAGTGCAAGATCCGTGGTAGTCTCCGGATCCACGCACATGGTTTGAAGTGCGCGCCGGTTTTGAATACAACAACCAAACATATCCATTCTTCTGACCATTTCACAAGCATGAAATCATCACCAACAGCAACTACCCTAAGACCACTGTCTCCATGGCAATGCGTTTTTACATTGTCAGCCTTGTTGTGATACAGTCATTAGTTAAGGTACATATTCGGCTTCTCCTTGCTCCGATTTGCATATGAATATATACTTCATTATGAAATACCATTGCACTTCTCAGTAAATTTGTTTTCACCAAAGAGAACTCGGTTGGTATGTGTGAACTTCGGTTTAGTTCTTAATTAAGTGTATGTTTACACATGCCTGAGCCTCTCTTTCCGCTCTGCTCGCAAAAGGAATCTGGCCCCCTATATCAGCATTGTAAAACGTCATTAACTAACTCCCCTCTGACACACTAGTACTCGTCTACAAAGTGATTGGAGTCCCAGACACTGTTCTTGGTAGTTGTAACAAGCTGTGTCAATCCAGTTGGCTCCCTTTTACACGTGTACCTCTGCCTGCAGGCTCGCTGGTTGTCACGTAACACGTGACAACCATCTGTACCCTAAATTTTCAATCAATTTCCCAGAATTTCCCAGCGTTCAGAGTCATCATCGTGGTCTCATTGTTGCCTTCGTCCAGAAGGCTATAACATCCCTTTGCTATAGTATGGAAAACTATATTAGTTTAGCATACTTACTTGCCATGATGATAAGTAGTTCAGGACCAGTGCCTTGAAGCAAACGATAGCAGTTTAGCAGTCTTCCCTAAGGCCGACTCATGATGATGTCATTCCCAGCCCCGACCCCAACTATGCCCCATGTCACACACGGGCGAACGCGCGCGCGCGCGCACGTGTATGTGTGTGCGCACATGTTTTTGATGTGCGCGTGCGTCTGTGAGAAATTCGTAAAACTACACGCGAAAGTCTTTCGCAGAAAAGTAACAGAAACACAGGACGAGCCAGGATCATGGTACAAAAATGCACTTCAAATAAAAGCGAGGAAGCCAGGAATGCTCTCTGACACCATTTGACCCCAGGGAGCGAGGAATCTAACCCTCAACCTCTTGCACAGAGTAACAGAGTACTAGTAATCAAATTTGAAAGGGGCAAAGGAAAAGGATAATTCAATTTTCTGTACAAACGGGAGGGGGGGGGGCACAAGACAACTTGTAGGAAACAACACTTGTTACTGTATTCCCTCTTACGTGTATTCTAAATAAATGTTCCATCACAAAATCTCTAGATTACCGTCACAAATATACATGCATTTGTTTTACTCATACGACACATGAACTGTACCTAGCTCTCGAGGCACATGGATGTACAATAAAAGTCTTTCATCGTTAAAAACAACAGCCGATCGTACAAGGTACAACGACTTGCTTCATAACAAGCATTCCGTGTTATTGTCAAACCTGTCATTGTCTGTTAGCCTCTGCCAGGGGCTAGCCCATTCAGCAGTCACGCCAGCCTGGGACTGTTTGGGTATTTGCATGGGTCGCCTAGGCAACACGCCTCCTGGATTATCAAGGTGGGCAGGTTCGTGCAGGTGAATCCGCACAGGCCCGGAGAAGAAAAAAACTGGACAGAAAAGGAACCAAGATTATTCTGCCGAATTTCGACATATTGTGGAACACCTGGATTATTATATCTATGTATTAAACATGGCCCTTCCACAGTGAAAGGAGCGTGTCTGGAGACACCCTGGTCACGTTACGGAGCTGTGTCGGATACAATACAAGGTAAGGCGAGACGTCGGTGAAACACACCCACAGCAGTGTAAATACGCACGTGAACAGCATATAATTTTGAATATAGTTCTTCTGGGATTCATTTTGTCGACGGGTGGATCGTATTCTTAGTTTGGGTTCTGTTTCTGAGGGCAAATCGAGTTTTCAAACCCTTTTGCTTTCACGTTCCGTGGATCATAATTAGGCCATGAATGGAGCAGGTGTCATGGCGGCTGTCCATGACATGATACATGGGGCGATCAGATAAAGAAAATCTCTCTCACGCATATAAAAGCATATTCAAAGGACTGCACACCTCTTGTTTTTCACGACACAACAACCACCTTGGCCACGGGACATGTCTTACTTGTCAAATAATTCGTAAACGATCACTAAAATGTTTTGTTTAGCACGTGACGAGGCATTTTCTATTATTCGAACAAAGTTCACCATATCTATTTACTTTGAATTGCTAATCTGTTGTTACACTTATCTGTTATAACAATTACCGTGTAGTGTTTTGTAGGTAAACGAAATGAAGTAACACGCATTTTTCATTATTGTCCTTGCTACATGTATTTGAAAATTTGATGTATTGATAATAGACGAAAATAAGGTGTTTTGAACACAGAAATATTTGTCCGTCTTGTTGCACCATATAACTAATTTCTCAACATGATCAAAGATTGAAATTCTTTTGCGACGTAAATTGTCAAATAGCGTCATGTATACGTTACACTTGACAGCGTGCGTGTTTTACAACCAAGTATCCTCCAACAAGCCCATTCTATTGTTGTCAGACACCATGAAATATTCAATACACAAGGTCTTCTCTTCATCACTCATAGCCTTATTAACTTTTATTACCCCATTATACAGACAATTTACTTTGATATCAATGTTACATTCTCCAGTGATTCTCATATGGGCACCATCTTGACGACATGACACGGCACCAAGCGGAAAGATGAGTGATTTGCACTTCATCCAGCTCCTGCCTTAGCCTAGTAGAACAATTTAATGACAAGGATGACTGTTTTTCTCAACTTGCTGAAGACTTTCAGTCGGTGACATCAGCGTGATCAATCAACGTTCAGGTAACAGGAGTTTGTGTGGAGAGTAGACAGCGATGTATTTCCACACGGTACACGGCACTGCCATCACCCTGTCGGACGACAGGAGGACTGCCACGCGGGGAGACGGCTTCTGCAACGGCATCACCTTCAGCGCCGCCCCAATGGAGTTAGGCGAGGAAATCTCCATCGAGTTCGTCTCCACCACATCGTCTTGGAGCGGCGCCATGCGCTTCGGCGTCACCACGGTAGACCCGGGCACGCTGACCCAGGAGGACCTGCCGAGGTACGCCGTGCCGGACCTCACCAACAAGGAGGGCTACTGGGCCAAATCCATGAGCGACAACCTGGGCGAGCCCGGAAACCTCCTGACTTTTCACGTGGACGCCGAGGGGAACCTGAAGTACTCCGTGAACAATGACGACAAGGGAGTGTTTCTCTCTGGGATCCCGGTCAACCAAAGTGCTCCGAGCCCTGACCTCAGTAGCATTTCGCTGAGGAAGAAGAAGAAGGGGCCTGAGAAGAAGAGACCGATTCAGCTGTGGGCACTGCTGGATGTATACGGCGTGACGACAGCCATCAAATTTGTCAACACCGGTACGTACTGCATCTTTATATATCTTACTTTGTCGACAACTGTATTGTATATACATTTGGCAACTGCCAGACTACAGGCGTAAAATAACAATACATTACATGGAATAATTTCACCCTTGACGGCGATGTTGTTCTGATGTTTGCAGATGACGTGCCCACGGAGATCCTGGCGCGCGGTCCCCACGCCATGAAGGCGTTCAAGCAGGCGGCCAGCTCGGGCACCAAGCCGGTGTTCCGCACCAGGCTCATGCTGGTCGGACAGGACAGGGTCGGCAAAACTAGCCTCAAGAAGTCGCTCACAGGACAGACGTACGTTGTTCACGTTTAAACATCTATACTTACTTACTACACAGTTTCTTTAGGCTGCTAGATTAGTATACTTAGATTAGTATAGATGGGTCCTTATTTACACAACCAATCCATCAGCCATACATCTTTTGGGGTGGTCAAAGACGTTTAAAAACCAAGCACACGAGAAAAGGAGGGGAGGTCCGATCGATGATCATGGCCAAATTCTTAGGAACGTAACAGGATCACGTCTTTCCTCCTGTCGCCAGTTGATCAGTGCTGTTTGCTTCCCTCCACAGTTACGACTCGGGAGAGATCAGCACGGACGGAATCGACACCGCGGACGCCTGTGAGATCAACGTGCAGGACGCGACCTCCTGGAAGGTCCACGGCAAGCAGGAGGGCAACACGGACACGGGCAAGAAAGGCGTGCTGGGTACGTACGGTATCAAATAGCAGAAAAAACAGCTCGCCCGGCACTCTGACATTTCAAAATGACATTTCAAAGATCACTAGATCACTGCACGATTTTTGATTTAGGAACCGGCCGATGTTCTCAGGTGACCGACATCCGTCCAATGTAACAAGGTAGATCTTGAAAAGCAGGATTCGGCCAAATGTCGTTGACAGCGTGACGCCGCGTCGGCTTAGCGATATTTCTGTACATTGAAGTAGGAAATGTATCTACCACACCGCTGTTATTCTAGTAGGTAAGTCACGCTTCTAGCAGCCCATCCCTCGGTCTTACATGGAGGGACTGCAGAGAGCCATGGCAGTAAAAAGTTGTGTTTTCACGCAGATTAATTTTGTTCGTTATCTCTTGTGCTCACGTTCTTTCACGTCGTTTTCCCCAGACGGATCGTTTGGAGTGGAGGAGGAGTACGCGCAGGCGGTGGCACAGAACATCGTGAAGGCCCTGGTGGCGGAGAGGAGGAAGAACAGAGAGGCGGTGGAGCCCACCAAGCAAGCGGAGACGCCGAAGAGCCTCGCCAAAAACGCTCATGGGGCGCCCAGCACTGATCATGACGAGCAACCGACGGAAGCAGACCAAGTCATTGAGGTATTCCTTCAAATTTTGTCTAATGTTGATATTAAGATCGTTTGATGGGCTTCCTTGTAGTTTTATACAGCCAATGTATACTACTATTGTCCTGCCGGGAACAGGAACATGCAACGCAAAAAGTATTCTTAAGGCAAACACACAGTGTGAATTCTAGTGAACATATCGTGCTGACGGAGAACAGGCTACAATGTACTACACAGGCTGGCTACTTGTCCTTGTTATATGGGCAAAGTAGTCCTACTGTGCGACACTGTCACAGTGACGAGTTTGTAGGTTTAATTTACTTTAGAACTTTCAGCCCAAGCACTTCTGCATGGTGGCTACGGCTACAACATTCGTGTTTTCCCACCGACAGGTGTACAGTAAGGCCCCGGAGCCCGTGGAGAACTCCCTGAAGGATAACGACCTGCTGAAGGACATGCCTCCGCGCGTGGTGGAGCTGGTGACGGGCCTGCTGAAGGAGGCGGAGGAACACGGGCTGGAGCACAGCCCTGCCCAGGAGGCCACCAGGCCAAACATCATCATGAAAATCTGGGACTTCGCCGGGCAGTCGGTGTACTACACCACACACCAGGTGAGGCTACCAGTCGGTGTACTACACCACACACCAGGTAAGGCTACCAGTCGGTGTACTACACCACACACCAGGTAAGGCTACCAGTCGGTGTACTACACCACACACCAGGTAAGGCTACCAGTCGGTGTACTACACCACGCACCAGGTAAGGCTACCAGTCGGTGTACTACACCACACACCAGGTAAGGCTACAAAGTTCAGATCGAATATTAGACAAAAAACAATACCATTTGTTAACACTGTACAGTGCTCGTATGGTATCTTAAAAACTCACCGTCACGAAAAAAACACAATGCATGCAATTAGTACGTATTGTAATGTGGGCAGGGAAGTTGGCATACTACACCACAAGCCAGGTAAGCTCGACAAAGATCGAGCTGCAATCCAGAGCTTCTTGTGCAAAACGTTCTGATGTACAAATCTCTCTATTTGTCTGTTCTAAAATCTACGTTGATGATTAAATTAGAAGGTAGTTATGCTGATCTTAATGACGGGGCGGTTTAACCTCCGCAGGTGTTCCTGACGCCTCGTGCTGTCTACACCGTGGCCTTCAACCTGTGCCATGACCTGGACGCCAAGGCGCTGACCCAGGTGCGCCGGTCGGAGGGCAGCGACGACAAAGCCAAGGTGGGGAAACAAGTTACCGTGCGTTGCAAATAGCAAACATTCGTTAGATTATACCCCCTTTGTTAATGTATATTATATGTATGGCATCTCGTCCTGTGCAATGCACAGGACTGGTGAATCCTTTTTCATTGGTCTATGGATTATGGATTATGGATTGCGATAGTAACAGATACCATGTTTTCTCCAAAAGACAAAGATGTATCTGTAGATGCTACCTCACTATCATCAGGCAAAGCCTTTATTAGCGAAGACCAATTGAGTGTTGATATACCGTGGCGACGACACACGCTGTACAACCTGTGATAACATATTGACTTTCCCCATCAGATTGAGTGGGAGGAGAGTGAAATGACGAACATGGACTTCCTGGAGTTTTGGGTGAGCTCGATCCATGCGCACACGGCAGACAACAAACCCAGACAGCGTCAAAACGGCCACAAGTCGCCTCCGGTCTTCATCGTGGGAACGCACAGGAATTCCCTGGACCCCGACCCTGACGTCTGCGAGAAAAAGGTGTGTGGATGTTTTAGGTCTGCCAACGTGGTAGCCATGTAATGAATGGACTTGCTATGAATGTCGCACAAAGATTAAAATAACCTGATGGGGTTTACTGGTAGAGGCATAACGGGAGGAGGGACAGAAGTACAAAATAAAAGTAGCCGATTGCATATCACTGTACGAACTCTATCGTGCCTGGTCCTAGACAATGTGTACTAATGATGTAACATGCGGATTTGTACCCACAGACTCGTGAGATTTTCGCGAAAATCCAAAAGAACATGAAGGGCAGACCGATGGAGGGTCACGTGGTGACGCCGTACTACGCGGTAGAAAATGGTCTGGAGGACGACAGTGAGGTAAACTGGTCTCACGGACACATCTTATGCTTACATAGGATATAGCGACAACGAAGCTATGGATAGGATCACATTTCAGCACCAAGGGCAGGACCATGTACTGTAGAAGGGGCGGTAGATTAGGGCCGAATTTTAGCACCAAGGGCAGGATCATGTACTGTAGAAGGGGCGGTAGATTAGGGCCGAATTTCAGCACCAAGGACAGGATCATGTACTGTTACGGGAGTAGTAAGCTAGGACCACGTTTCTGAACATAACCATGTACTGTAGTAGAGTTGGCAGGAGAAGACCACATTTCAGCACCAAGGACAGGACCATGTACTGTAGCAGGGGTGGTCAGTTAGAAGCACATTTCATTACATACTAGTAACCATGTAATGCAGTAGTGTTAGTACGATCAAATTCTCATGATTCCTTAGTGATGGTCATGCGTATGTTCTGCATGCCTGCCACAAGCGTTCAGACCTTACATCGCTCAATCCTGCATATTTTCAGATCGCGAAGCTGCGGCAGCACATCGAGGAGGTGGCGTACGGCGAGCCGTACATGGGGGAACACATGCCCATCAGGTGGCTCAAGTTTGAGCAGTTCGTGGCGCAGGAGGTCGAGAACGGGGTGGACTCTCTCAGTCTGGAGCAGGTAAATGACGCTAAACACAAGATATTTTACTGCGCGGTGGCATTCAGTAGGATTTTTATGTTGTAGAATTTCTAAGGCTGTCACAGAACCAGTTGCCGACAAGGATCTAAGGCAACATTTTGCAACAAGACATGTTTGCAACCGCATTTAATAGAAAACATATCTCGTGGTTAGCTATGTCCTAATGTTTTAATAAGAGGACACTTCTCCTGTGCATATAGCATTCCATATAGCCATGCAAGCAAGCGAAAAAAGTCAACTCAATGGGGACCTCATATTTTTGTATTCTTCAGTCCATACAACACGTCTTCCTTCTATTTCTTTATAGGTCCAAGAATCCGTTAAGAAGTTCGGGATCGACAGTCGAGATGAGCTGATCGCCATGTTGGGGTTCTACCACGATCTGGGCACTATCGTGTACTTCGGCAGCCAGGGCGCCGTGGACGACACCCTGCAGAAAACCGTCATCTTCAGACCACAGTGGCTAGTGGACATCTTCAAGAGGGTCATCACCGTCAAGGACATCGACGATCAGGTATGCCGAAACATAGTGTCTGAAAAGTGTTTGAAAATTTATATCCGAATGGAACTTCAGCATATTTAGCATCATGAAAAGGTATTGCACGAAATTATGACCAAAAATATTAGCGCATGAAGCGGTCTAGCGCCTGTTGAAATACAACAGCTACATCTCATCCTTGTACATGACAAGTCTTGTCTAAAACATCATACGACATGAAATAGTCGCGTGGCATGCGCTTGTATCGTTGCTCACGTTGATGGACGGTAACGTTCCAGTGGGACCGGTTCAGCGAGGCGTGGGCCCGGCTGGACGCGGAAGGCGTGCTGGAGGACGCGCTGATAGACTACATGTGGCGGGACGTGCTGGAACAGAAGCCGCTTCTCCTCAACCTCATGGACAAGTTCGACCTGCTCTGCGAGAGGCTGCCGCCTAAAAAGGTATCCAAACCCTTTAATTACCACGGGGTGGGATATCAGGCTTGTGTTCGCCTAGACAATGTTCGGGTGGTCACACCATCCAATGTAACACTATACCACCGTCGATGAAGGTCAGACATGCATTTACTGAGATGCACAAGAAAATTGTTACTCAAGCAACTGGATAGATTTAATCTTTTTTTAAAATCTACCCGATTGCTTTAGTAACAATTTTTTGTTATGTATAACTAAGCATGCTGACATTTGATACTCATGTTCTCCTTGACTTGACTGTCTGTTTTTCCCGTAGATTACCGCTGACGAGAGGGCGGACTGGGTGAAGAGCTATTACGTCCCGTCCAGGCTGCGCCAGAAACCGCATGACATGGAGACAGTCACGGACCAGCCGCACTTCTCCTTCTTCATGTGGTTCCACGGCTTCCTACCAGGTAGCTTTAAATACACATTTAGACTATTTCCGGAAAAGCGAAATGGAGTTTGTACTACTTGCCGTGATGTATACGGTAGTTACACTGGCTTACTAACAATTACTCTTATGAAGAGAAAAAAGCAACAAGCAATGGTATCAGATAATAATGGATTAAGTAGCAAAGTTTGGTCTCCGCGAGCCAGCCCTTTGAGCATTCAATAGAGGCCCTGTCCACGGTACTGAATGGACCTTCAAAACAATATTGTGCTCTTTGACAGAATCGTGTCTTTAAACAGATGGAAATGAGATTAAACTTCATGGCAGATACTTAATCTTAAGTGTCGTTACTAAACTGTCTTTAGTTCGTAACTTAGGGTTTTTTAAAACCCTAAGTTACGAACTAAAGACACTAATGTTAGACACAATGTGCAATTAGTCAACGCAATTCACTAATGTGTACGCACATGACTACCATCGTGATTTAACAAAGTTTGATCTGGTTCCCCCCCAGACGGGCTGTTCCACCGCGTGCTGACGCGTGCTGTCCGCTGGGCGCAGGAGTGCGGCGGCCGGGAGCCCCAGCTGTACCACCGGACAGCCCGCTTCTTCCTGGACGAGGAGCACGACTACCTGCTGGAGATGGCTCCCATCAGGCTCTCCAGGATAAAGGTGCGCTCACATACCTATCATCGCGTAGCTCTTAGTGCCTAGTCCAGTGGTTAGCCCTAACTCTTACCCGACTTTGCGTCTGTGCCAAGAGGTCGCGAGTTCAAATCCCGTCTGTTGGCGTTCTCCTGACACGTACCCTACTGATAAGGGAAAAGGGAAGGGTCGTAGTCCTTAGGACGGGATGTCAAGCCGTGGTCCAGTGCATGTTCTCTGTGTTTGAGCATACTGGTGGAATGTCTCTTGTATAAACCATACGTGTCGCCCTTCTTTCCTGTCATGACCAGTGAAAGGATAACTCTTAAGGTGAGCTAAGCTGGTTCGAGATCACTTGCACGTATAGTGGGGCCGACTTCAGTGACTTGCATGAGCCAGCAATACATGCCAAGAAGGTTATACAGACAGGCATCTTCGGCAACAAAGTCGAGCAGCCAACATACATGTATTCCGTTTCCAGGTTTCCGTGGTGAGAGTGATGGACCTGTCAGATGACGCGGAGGACGACGACCTGGGAGAAGCCAAGCTCCCTCCCCCGGACCCACAGGCTTGTGCCAAGGTATGCAAACGCCCTGTAATGTCGCTGTCTTGTGTGCTCTTGGGACATGGTGTAGAATGCATGGACTTCAATGCGCATTGGCAGACTCTTGTAAAAAAGAGTCGCCATGTTTCATATTGTCCGAGTGATTGAAAGGCGAAGTCAAGTTTGACCTTGTATTGAAGGTGAAGGAAAAATACGGACAAGCACTGAGCTGACTGTTAGTCGATTTAAAACGACGGAAACAGACAGCACAGCCAGGCTCCCACATAAAACCTACGTAGTTTTGTCTGACAAGACGTGCTCACTCGTCTGCTGACTTCTCCCCGTGCAGGTGCGGCACTTCGTGGACGCGACCCTGGCGGACCTGCAGGAGATGTGGATGAAGAGAGTGAAGTACAGCGTCACCGTCCTCTGTCCCTGCGGGGACCAACAGGAACACTTCCTCTCACTGGACCAGTGTCTCGGCGGAAAGGTAACTACTTCTGTGCTATACATATCACTGGTTATTCTTCTGAATCTGACCATATTCTTGGCTTAATGGAGGAGGTGGGGGGGGGGGTGATACGATTGCACACATTTGCGTTTCTTGAAACAAAATAAAGCTGTTACTGTATTCTAAGACAGAATGATTCATAAAAGAGACAACAATGAATATTCTACATTTCGCTGACGTATGTTGTAGGTCGTGCTCTGTGAGAAGAACAAACGAGTCAAGACGCTGCAGTTTAGGAAGAACTTTCCATCGGAAACTGTGACAGGTCAGATTCTCCTTGTTTGTGCCATAATGACAGTTTTTCTATTTTCCTCATTCAGAGTTGTGTGTGGTGTCTGTGAGTGATTGTCATGTGATCTAAATATTACTTCATGTTGTTCGGAGATGAACAGATAGCTGCAGATTTCTGTGTAAATAGCATATCACATATTTCCGATTTCATACATACCTCAACGTAAATATATGAACTACAATCCTGCCTGTGGATTTGACTAAAGATTGATTGACTACCTTACAGCCCGTCCCGCGGCCCCGATGACAACCGCGCCCCTGCAGCCCGGACAGCTGCCGCCGTGGGTACCGGAGGCCGCCAGGCTCCTCAACTCCGACAGAAACCCCGCCAACTGGGTGGAACTCGCCAACGGACTGGGTTAGTCTAGCATGCTATAAATGGACTTAAAGACGTGTCATTGGGAAAAAATCCAATCTTTTTTCTTCCAACGTCATGTACAACCTGCCTGCTCGACGTTTGGTGGTAGCAATCAGAATATATAGACTGGTTTATTTGCAGAAACACATACTTCATACATACATAGTACAGTAGGTTAGAAGCTTTTTGCAGCCAAAGGCTGAATTGAGAAGCTTTTACAAATTTTTAAAAACTACATGACTAATACATAATATATATACATAAAAAGTGCCTTGAGAGGCATTAAACACCACTTATACGCTAGAATAATACACATTTATGCTAAAATTACATCATACAACTTCTGTTGGCAAATTACAAGTACAACTGACAATAATAAAAAAGTACAATTACATCATGTGCAACAACATAAAATGAAATCTACTGTATGGCGAGGTTATTCAGTATGTTCAGCATTGTGGGGACAGGACTGCATAAATATCTTTTTGTCCCAATGGGTGGTTTGTAGCGCCGTGTTTGCCTTAGCTGCATGTTGTGTGAGTGGTTACTAACTGGGGGTAGCCAGGGGGCGTGCCTAGACCTAGTGGCTGAAAGGGCAAAGGCCCGGCACAGGGTCAGTCTCCGTTCAGACAGACGTTGGAGGTCAAGAGTTGACAGGGCCTCGGAATACGAGTGATAGCTTCTACCCAGCATGATTCTGCATCCCCTTTTCTGGATTCTTTCTATGCTGTCAGATTGTTTTTTTGTGATACCCGCATTCCAACAGGGCGTGGCATATTCAACTATTGGTCGAATATACCCACAATACACTGTGACAAGGTCAGAGCTTGGGAGGCCAGCTCGACGCAGCCTACTTAATAAGTATAACCTTCTACTGCCCTTGGACACCATGGCGTCAACTTGATCAGACCACCGTAGGTTAGAGCGTATGTGCAAACCAAGTAACTTTGCTTGTGTAACTATGCTAAGTGGCTGACCTCCGAGAGTCAGTGGGTGCATTACTGGGGGGGTTCTCGATGAAGCAGAAATACATTGCTTTACATTTTTGGGGTTAAGTACCCTAGAGAGGGGGGGGGGGCAGAGTGCAGAGGGGGCTAAGCTAATAAGAGACTAAGGGCTCACGGTCTTCCTTATGCAATGACCAGGCTACACCAGTCAGAAGACGGAGACGTTCATGAAGTCTGCGGACCCGGCCTCAGCCCTGCTGCGGGACTGGCTGGACGGGAGCGGCGAGGCGGCGATGGATCACGTCATCAGGACGCTGGAGAACATGAACAGGGACGACGTGCTGCAGGTCATCAGGGGCCGACGGGGTACGCAAACTGTAACTTTTAGTATTGCGTGTGTTACAGCACTGTCCATGGTACTGAATGAACCTTCAAAACAGCTGTGCACCTACAATGAACGTGGATCGTTTGCCGAAGTCATTTCAGAGATATCCTTTTCTGTCATTTGGGATAACGTTTTTGTTCAGAAATGTCTGTAAATAAAAAAAAAGTTGGCGGTTTTCTTTGGCCATAGTGATTTCCTTTGAGATAAGTATTGTATGAAAGAAGTTGCTTTAAATTCCACTTATATATTATATACGAAGAGTAAGTTGCTTGTATCTCTTCAATGTTTATGATATGGTGTAGTTGAACTTGATCTTCAGTACAACTGTTTCTCGTGCAGGAGCCGCTGACGCCCAGCCCGCGATCTTCATCAGTTACCAGTGGGACATCCAGGACCGCGTGCGGGATCTCCGGGACCGGCTGGAGACCGCCGGCTACCCCTGCTGGATGGACATCGGCCAGATGGGCGGAGGGGACGCGCTGTACGAGAAGATCGACCAGGGCATGAGGGCGTCCAAGGTGGGTAATCAGACAAACTAGTGAAAAATTTGAAGTCAATGTTTGGTCGGTGGTTTAGAAGCTGTACAATCTAGCCTGGTATCCGACCGCACTTCTGCTACCTGATCCCTTTCCGTAAACCCACTGCAAATCATTGGACAGGGTTACTACGGAGAGGAAATAGAGATAGATATATAATATATATAGACGTAGATTCAGCTATGTGCCTGTTGTCGGATCGGTACAGGATTTTCCCTGGAATGGTATAAAATGTATATCTGCAATGTCCGCACGCCTAGTTGTCAAGTGCTGAAGTAGATTGTGCGCTATGTTTTATTATTCCTGAGGGTCTCTTGCTTTCTCTCTTTGTTGCCTGTGTATCTCGACTTCCCAGTACAGGCCTGGGTTTAAACTTTCCCCTAAATCTCCCAACATGCGCCGATCTTTCCTCAGGTTGTGATCGCCTGCCTGACCACCAAGTACTCGGTGTCGCAGAACTGCAGCAAGGAGATCAACCTGGCCAACCTGCTGGGGAAGACCATCATTCCCATCATGTTCCAGAAGATCGACTGGCCTCCTCCCGGCGGCATGTCCCTCATCTTCTCACCGCTGCTGTACATCGACATGACCAGTAAGTCTCACAACAAGGACTTTATAATGCCCTTGCTCACGACAGACCAATAGGCATGATGTCTGGTGTCCATCTTATTCTCCTGTTCTCTCCTTGAGTGCTATTCTGCAGCTTGGTGGAAACGATTGTTGGAACAAACCAGAGCTAGAATCGGATGGACTCCAGGCTATCCCAATCATTGTTGTATAGTAATATCATAGGGCCTCGTTGTTACAACTTATCTATTCATTTTCACCTGTTTACACTACTTCCTGGAGTGAATCACTGTCCAATTATCACATCTTTTTGCTTCATTAATGGGGCCACCAAGAAATTGACCAGACTGCCTCTCACATGAGAATCAATGAAGAGAAATCACATTTGTTCTGTCTGTCTCCCAGGCCCCGGTGGTGGTCACGGCGGAGCCGGCATCCACTCCAAACTGGAGACCAAGTTCCAGGAGGTTGTGGAGCGGATCCAGACGACCATCAGGCCTGTCGGCACGGGGAAGGGAGGCAGCATGGAACCGGAGTCACCTGGGAAGGAGTCCGACAAGCAAGCAAGCAGCACTAGCAGTCCTGCTAAGCGACCGAACAGTGCTGCTAGGCGGCCTAGCAGTGCTGTGTCCCAGGCACAGATCACCAAGTGTGGAGCATGTGTCATACTGTAGGGATCAAGTCTGTAACACAACCTCTCAGTGTCCTGGGCTCTATGGAGCTCCTCCCTGCACATGGCCTAATCAGTGGCAGGGCTGCTAGAAGCAGGTAGTATACTAGTATTGACAGGGAAGGTGTAAATAATGTACAGCCTGTACCAGAAGACAAACTGATGTACAGTATCAGTAGGATAAAGCCATTTAGGCATGTTCTTCATGCTGTGTGTATTGTTGCTTGTATCTTCTGTTGTAAATAAGAATCATTGTAAATGTTTATAAGAAACGTTGTGCCATACATGTACAGGTCTTTTCATGACCAAATCATTTAGAATCCTATTTTGAAAACCTAACTTAGCCCAAAATGTTAACTTTTCTGTTATATCGTTATATTTAATCACAGTGTTTAACACTGCTATCGGAATGGTGGCATACACATGACTTGTAAACTTCTCACACAGAAAAAACACATCCAAAAGTATCTCTGCTATCACCAATATGTAACATCTATATTAGATGGTAACATATCTTTTGCTGCAACGTCATTGCGAAAATGACATTGTATATATTTCTGCATCTGTATTCCTAAAAGCTTTCATGTTTTGAGGAATTGTATTCGAGTTTTAGATTTTGGACAGACGGGACATAATGACATTTTCCATGATCCTGTAACACACATAACATTACAGCTGTAAATACAAATGTATGAATTACCTTCACCTGTAATAAGAGATTCAGAGGGGTTAATATATGTGAAATAAACTTTGCTGTATCTATAGTTTGAAATGAATGTAATGAAATTGCGGTTATGAATTGGTGTTTGATTTGAATTAAATATCCACACTTTCTTATACTTGAGTCATCTTTTCTTCCTTGGGAATGCCTGCAGATACTAGTAGTCAAGAGTATTTTTTCAGGGATTCTCATTCGAGGAATGTTACAGGACTTTTACGGCAATGTTTTTCTACAGGTGTATCAAAATAGAAATGATTGCTTTGCCACATGTTCTGTCCTGTCTGTTCAGCTCCATTGAAACAAATATGATCAGCCAGGCCACATGACTACATGTAGTACAATTTTACCTGGCATGGCTCTCCTTATAAAGCGGTGGGCTAATGATGCTGCTGCTGCATCACATTGTCAATTTTCAATTTCAGATTGCTCCACCCTTTCCCAGACTTTGTAACAGAACCACCTTCCTCTAGCTTCATGTGGGAGCCTTGTATGTACTAGAAAAAAACTAAATTGCCAGTGTCATGTGTTTTGTTCACGTCAACCAAGCAGAATATTTAGTCACAAGTGTTGGAGAACACCAAAGAAAACTATTGTTACAGTAGCAGCCATGGAATGTCCTTTCTTGGAAAGTCCTTGACAGTGAACCTGGTATCATACGGACGTTCCCCTCTAAGCTTCAGCAACTCCTGCAGACACTGCAGGACGACTGGGTCAAAGTTCAGGTCAAACTTGTTGGCGAACAGGTGATGGCAGTCTATCAGCCACTGCAGGTCTCCGATACCAAAGACGCACACGTCGCGCACGTACTTCCCCTGACAAGGCGGGTACTGTTTGCCCTCGAAGTACACCCATTTGATGGCACGGATTGTAGACGACCACGTGGGCTTGGAAAATCCTCCAGGAGCCGCTGGAAGCTTGTTCAGGGTGGCCCAGTAGAACTCATCTGGGCTGAAAAATATTACAATAATATCCTTATCCACTATATACTAGTAATATCAAAGAAAAAATCCATTGTTCACCTATAACCAGTACAATTTTTTTACTAGGTCAGGTAACACATCAAAACTACCTATCATATCATACAGTAAACAGGTCTAATCTAAACTACACTAATCTATATATATACAGGTGGTATTTTGAGCCATGTTTACCTGTATGTGTCCTGCGACCACTCCAGCAGATCCTTGGCTACCTTGTCTGTCAGCACCCAGCTCATGAAGGCATGACTGGCGATGTAGTATGCAATGCCAGTGTAAATGGTCAAGTTGTGGGGAGGGGGACTTTTCCTCTTTTCTGTCTGTACCACAGACATCTCACCATCCTGAAATAAATTGGCGAAAGATCTAAGTACACATGTCAAGTTCCATAACTTCTGGATTTCACCCACATACTTTTTCAAGACCTTCTTGTTGGGAGTAATCCATACAGTGAACAATACAATTGGCAGTTTGTCAGTTGTTGCTTATTAAACAGCCAATCATGTTCTGAACTTAACTTTTATACTTTTTGAATAAAATCAGTTGGATCCTAATGTCAGTATGGAGTCACTGTGGTAATGTATTTCAGCCCCAACACTGGTGGCAGCAGTGGGATAGGACATTCCAAACATTATAATTCAAAGACATGCCTTTGTAGAAATGAAGACCAAAAATCCCAGAAACTTAAGATTGCATGTGAAGTAGGAAAACCACACACATAGTATCAGGTCTATTACATTTAGACCCACTTACGTTTGTGACTACATCATGGACAAAGCGTGTCCTGTCACCATGGATGTCACTGGAGGACTGGACACCGGGAATGTCGTTCTGTCCACCAAACACTTTCAGCTGTGCAACAATCTCATTCTGTGTCTTGAGAGGGAAATCCTGTCCGGCCAGGTTGATCACATAGCGCCACTTCACGGGTGAGTCAGCCAAGTCTTGCAGACAGTTGAAGTCTGCCTTTAGTCTACTGTAGCCACCATACACAACTGACTCCAGGCGATGGGAAATAAAAACATTGTCGTAGCAGCCTGCCATTGCCGACAGTGCAGCTCTGAATGCGGACGGAGACCGTTTGTCCACATGTATGCAGTATATATTGTACGGAGTGTAGATGGAATGCAGTAATAGTTCTACCTGAGCAGCATTTTTATGCACGACGATGATATATGCTATGGGAAAGTCTTGTGTGTCCATTCCAGATGAAGAATCCCACTGCCAATATTGAGTATACTGAACACAGCTAGCAGCAGCAACATGTAAGTGATCAACGTGTGACAGAGCTGTGCTAGACTCGCTGAGGTCTACTGCACTTTGGTTCCTCTGCAGCAAGTCAGTGCAGTTGTCCCAGGTATAAAGAGGCCTTTGGACAGGTGTTTCTTTTGGATGGAGACTTTCTCTTCTTCTATGACCAGTGACTCTTTTTATCTTGCTGTTGACAACCATACTTGGGACAGAAATAACATAGTAAGTTTTGAAGACCACACAAACAGTTCTATTTCAATAACTGGATTTATGATTCTGAAAGGAACAAATGTATCATAACTTTTGTTACAGATATTCCTATATGGATCATAATATAGCACTTGCTGTTATTTAAACTTTATTCACCAGTAGTTGCAAAGAATACAACACAGTTATACCAAGTTCTCTGTTTCTGGTAAAGGGCTTATTGGTACATTAAAGTAAACATACCTTTTCTGAACACTTCTGACAGAGTCTTGTTTCTGTTTGTTCACAGTGGAAGGGTTTAAGAGGAAAGTCAGCATGGCCACTACGAGGCACAGCAGGAGGAGCAGACACAACCTCCTCCTGAGGGACAGGCCCATGGCTCACACAGTCTCCATAACCACGTTACACCTGCACAACCTGTAGTAGTTACCTGGTGGAACAGATAGAATACTTGTGAGCCGTGATGCACACCATTCACCAGTGCTTTCTACTCTAATATCTGGGCTCAATTTGTGGATTCTGTTTGTGGCCTCGCCTCGGAGATATTGTTATTGCACCTGTCGCAAAATGTTAGACGCCCATCCTCCCCCCCCCACCCCATTCACCTGCCAAAATAGAAAACACCTGCTCAACAACCACGAAGCACAAAGCATGTCTAATAGCCTACAGTGCGCGGGAGTCTGTCTTCCTTACATTTCAAGCCATTTCCCTTCGTGCCACAACATCACCGGGCCGGTCTGCAAGCGGAGAGTTTGTACCGTTAAAATTTTCACCGGCAGTATAGCAAAACACTAGAATCTACTTCCGGGTGAACCGCTAGCACCCCTGGGAACAAGAGCACGGGGCGGAAGGCACGAGTTTGCACACCTGTTCAGGTATAAATGATTTACGTCGGCTTTGATACGTTTTTGTTTGTTTGTTTGTTTGTTTGTTTGTTTGTTTGTTTGTTTGTTTGTTTATTCACAAGCTTAGGTTTTTCACTGAGGTCATGAGGAAGGGGTAGCGGCCAGACAAAATTTGACAAAGATTACAGTCCTTATCAAACGTTATAAATAGAATTAGACGTTACATGGTTCAGCCTGGGTTCATTGGCATTCGTGTTGGTGCTTTTTTTACTCCAAAAGGAAACGTTTTTGTTTCGAAGGTTTGATGTTTCGAGTTTCGGTGAGCCTGCTCATGAACTTGATGCCACATCACCTGATCTGCTGACGGAAACTCCCGCCATGACTCAGTAGGGAAAAACCTGCGGTTTCGCAAACATAGGCGGGTCCGAAACTATCCTGGTTTCGGTCAATTCAATTTTCCTTCTTTATCAAGCTACGTCTTGTCTCTGTTCCAGTATTTAGGACATCCCGATGCCCAGCTAAAGGATACAACTTTTATGCTGCTCAATTATCATAGGCGGAACTTGATGAAGACAATGACCTTTGGCAGCACTCGGAGCTCAAAAGTGCACAAAACATCGCGTGACGTCAGCATTGGCACCGTGCCCCAAACACGAACTGAACAACATTGAAACAGGTCAGAATGTGATATGATTTCTATGTTGAAGAGAATCATAGTTCAGAAGCGTGTAAATATGCCACCTTTACTGTGTAAAGTAAGCAAGCCGATCGGTTTCGGTGCGTTTTGGGGTTGATTTTGTCAGTAGGTGAACTATAGCAACGCTGGGAGGAAGTAACGCTTCAATGCGTGTAAATAGCTGGTGCCCAGCGCCGGCCAAAGGCACAGTGCCCTACAGTGCCCAGCGCTCAGCCTTCATGTCATGATCAAAGCCCGGCAACAAGCGCTCAGCACAGAACGTGGTGAAGAGAGTCAACAATTTAGCTAGAAGATGTTAATGATATTTGTTTTGATTGAATGGTGCCTATATATAGCGTTATATAACGGTTATTTTGCTAAATCATGACTGTTAAACGGCATTCACAGTAGAGATGGAGGCAATACAAGATGCAACCTTGGACAGTGAAGAAAGTGTTACCGCCGGACTGCAGGCCCTTTCTCTCTCGACACCTGCGGTTGACCCGGAGGCACAAGCACTTCAAGCAAAGGTTCACAACGCCAAGGATCCTGCGTCACAAGACTACGTCAAACGGGCTTTCCTACAATTCTCACGAAGTCTCACTTGGCAGGATGACACAGCGCAGCAGGATGGGGCGCATGTCGTTACCTTTTCCCCCCTCGACTCCCAAGTTGTGAGCATGTCCGCCATATGCGGACAGTGGTGTCGCGCCGTGGAAGCGGGGAAGCCCTACTGGCTGGAAATCCCCCCGAACCAGCTGCTGACGATGGAGCGGTCGTCACCGAAGCCGACACAACTGACGTCTCTGCAAGTCTTGGATGTCGCCAGGGTCTCTTTCGGATGTTTCCTCGATCACAGCACCTTCATCAGCCACTGGACGGATGAATATGATGACTACGATGAGTTGTACTCGCAGTACATGAAACTGCACCTGGAACACGACATCCAGTCCTTGTCTCTGTACCTCTGTGTCGACATTCCCTACGAAGACACCGGAGGTCCGACAGAGAAGCTGATCATCCCCTACTCCGGCATTGAAAATTTCGTCCTCGTGTGTTCTCGCAACAGCGGAGACTTGATGTTGTTCTTTCCGCTCAATAGCGTGCCGCGTTGTTTCAAAGAAAAGACGAGCACAAACAGGTTTGGCGACGAGTTCGTCCAGGAGGACAGGATTCTATCCTTCTCCTCCTGTACTCCTGACATTATGGGTTCCAGCTCGGTACTAGCGGTGCACATAATTGACAAGTCCGCAGACGGCTCCGTCACAGAGGACGTGCTGCACAGGCTGCAAAAGGTCGGCTTTGACATCTACTTTTCGTCGACAAGGGTTGAAGAGGCCCGACAATCCACAGCTGGTCTGGACAGAGTGAATGACTTCAGGGACTTTTCAGTGACGTATGCATTGCAGTGCCTGCTGTCCAGGGGATACAAAGTCTCGGACCGTGTCCTGCCGTCGTTTTTCTCCAACTTGGAAGCCGCCGTAAGACAAGACCCAATCGCCACAGCTGCCGCTCTCCACCAGGTGGCAGACGGTTGGGTCGACAGGGACTGCTTCTGTGACTTGGAAGCGGCATTTCTAACAGAGCTGGATGTGGCGCGTACTGTAGGCAGCCAAAACGACGCGGACGACCTCCCCGACCACTACGTCTACGCGAGGAAGGTGGTGGTCACGCCCACTCAAATGCTGTTCCTCAAACCCGAGCCCATCGTCGAGAACAGGGTGGTTCGAGAATACGGCGTCGACAACTTCATCCGTGTCGCTTTTCGAGACGAAGACTTCAACAAGCTAACAGCTCCGAACCCCAACTCCATCAAGTGCGTGACTTCACGGGTGAAGGATAGCCTCCTTCGCAGTCTTGTTGGGCGTGGGCGTAATTTTTTCTCTGAGCGACGCGAGTAATATGCCGCCGCGAGGGACGATTTGCTGCCGAGGGACTTTTGCCACGGAGAGAAGGTTTCCGCGCTCCAACAAGACTGCTTCCAATCGGCGAGTTAAAAGGACCTCGGATTAAGCCAGCCTTTCATAGAGGCTATTAACATGTTCGTGCAGGTCCAATTCACATGTTCGCGCAGGTCCAATTCACATGTTCGCGCAAGGGTAATTCACAGATACGCATGGAGCGCTCGCCTTTTGTCAACGGTTGGTTTTATTAGCTTGCGTTATAGTGGAAGGTTCCAACAGAGAAAGGTTGAACATTGGTAATGTTACAACAAAGGCATTGCTGTGCATACTTAAGCATCCCATGCAAACAAACCAAGACGAACTTTGCAGTACTATTTTTGCTGGTGAAATGTGCCATTCTTTTTATTACACAACTTGCTGCGGAGCGGTGCGTTACCCTCCTATGACCAGTGAGATCAACCCGCCACCAAACAACATG